ATTGTTCGAAGTTATCGGCGTTTGATTCAAAAACACAGGTGCGTGCACGACGTAGCCAAGCGTCGGTGCAGGCTTTGAGAATGGAGTCCCTCCCCCGAATGAAAGCACCAGCTTGTTCAATTCTGAGACGAAGTTCGTGAACCATATGCACTTCAGTTTTGTACACTAAGAGTTTCATTTCTCCCCAAAGAAAAAAATCACATGGTGTTAAGTCAGGAGATCGCGGAGGCCACGCTACGGGTCCATTACGTCCGATCCACATATTCGGAAATAATTCATTCAAAAACTCACGCACTTCGCGTCTAAAATGGGGCTGTGTACCATTGTGCAGAAACCACATTGATTGTCTTAACACTTAAAGGCACATCTTCCTACAAGGAAGGCAAAATGTTGCGTAAAAAGTCTAGGTATTGCATCCCGTCCAATCGATTTGGGAGAATAAATGGTCCAATGAGCATACCGTTCACCATGCCAGCCCAAACATTCACCGAAAATGTTTGTTGAAAATGTGCCCGACGGACAGCGTGTGGATTTTCTACTGACCAAACATGAGTGTTGCGAAAGTTATTCACCCCATTACGCTTGAACGTAGATTCGTCTGTCACCAATATGCACTTCAAAAAGTCCGGATTATTGTCATGTTGATGCAACAACCACTCACAAAACCGCACTCTTGCTGGAAAATCGTCAGGTTGAAGGGCTTGTACACGTTGGCCGTGAAACGGATACAGCCCCTCTTCACGCAGCGTTTGCCACACTTTAGTTTTTGATACTTGCACTTCTCTAGCCACGTCTCTAGTGCTTGTTGAGGGATTCTCGTCTACGCGATTACCTCTACACGCGTGACCGTAACCGTCGGTTGAAGGTTGCATACTGACCTGACACTGACCCCGACCCAGTTCTGTCGTCGGGTTGAGCCAGTGACCTTGTACCACTCGGTGATGTCGCGGGTCGCGGCTACAGGACGGTATTCAGATATTTTTGATGTTGCAGAGCCCTTTATCTCGGTTCCCTTAAGACATTGGTATATATGGTACTAAGAAACATTGCTTATGTTTTCAAGATCTACACGTCGTGTAAAGGAAAACCCCAACTTTGCGGACACCCTGTATACTTGTGATTCGAGGTGTAAAAAATGAACATTAACGGAGCCCTGGGGAAGACTTATGGTCACTTGTAGCGTAGAGTACTATCATTTAGCACTACTTGCTGTTGTCGATCGCTATGTATGCGATCTTCCTGTAATCTGAGCGTCAGGTTACCTGCACAATACGTCATTCATCACTCCAGCAATGCTGTTGCACAGCTATGTGTCGGACGGAACCCTGATTGTGTATCTATGATGAGGTTGTTCGTGCTTAGGTGGTCTCTTATTTGAACATAAATTATTGATTCAAGCAATTTAGACAATGTTGGCAATATACTCGTATTACGCAAATCCTTGAGCTCAGACGGCTGACCAACTTTAGGCAAAGGCACAATCAAAGCGTGCGGCCAGCAAACAGGAAAATAGCATCCCAATATGCATTCATTGTTGATATGTCTAATAAAAGGAATAATTTTGGGGCAGCAATACAACAGCATTTCGATATCTATCAAACCAGCAACAAATAATTTCGTATTGAAGCTAAACAAAACATCTTTCACTAGATCTGTGGACGACAGAACAAAATCAAAACATTAAGTTTGACATTATTTTTATAAAAATAGAATGCGTCAGCATCAGGTTCTATACCTACACTAGATGAAGTGTACCGGTTAATTTCATCAAAATCCGCTGAAACTTCTGTGACAAATGACCTGGGTGTCTTATTGCCAAACTTCATAGCTTCTAAATCCTTCCATAGTTCGTACTGCTAATTTTCCATAGTAGACGAAAATATCCCTGGTTTGCAAAATAACTATAAAGTCTGGTTTTATTGTTGCATGTTGTTCAAGTGGTATTTAGAACATGGACGCATAAAATGGGTACACCAATTTTTGTGGGAAAACTTATTATTCGACAACAAACAATGAGAAAACGTGTTTTTTGGGATTCAATCGAAAGTGTTGGTAGGAACGGAAAAACCTTTGATAGACGATTTTTAGGCATTTGTAAGACCTACAAAATGAGACCACACGTAAAAAGAACAGACTAATAGCAAAAAAATTATGGCCGGAAACCGAGGCTAACTGCAGGTTTGTTGCTAATTCGACGATAATTTCACGCAATCACTTGAAATTCCTCAAATCCGTAGGATTCATACTTCTAAATAATAATAACAAAATCGGAGTATATGAGTCAAGTAGTTTTTTGAGAAATTCTAATATTTTATCCCAAAACATCTGTTTTCTGGCCATTACTACTGGTTTATTAAGCAATATACAGGATTCGTCCAAAGAGCGTTTAATAGCAAAATAGACGTGTTACCTTGCCAATATGGATCACAAACCATTCCGAAAGATAAATGATATTTTTATGCGAATTTCGTCTAAACAAATTGAAACATATGTTTATATGTTTTTCGAGTGCATTTGTTCAATTACTCACAAATACGAAATTGATGAATTTGCTTAGAAGAAAAATACGTAACCTTTGTTTTTCGCATAAAAATAACATTTCTCTTTCGGAATGGTTTGTGATTCATATCGGCAAGGTAAACACGTGTATTTTGCTATTAAATGCTCTTTGAACGAACCCTGTATATTTCTCAATAAACTAGTAGTGGTGGGTGTTTTGGGATAAACAATTAGAAATTCTCAAAAAACTAATTGACCCATATACTCCAATTTTGTTGTTATTTAGAAGTATGAATCCTACGGATTTGAAGAATTTTAAGTGGTTGCGTGAAATTAGCGTCGCATTACCAACAAGTGCCAAAACCTGCATTTTGCCTCCTTTTCCGGCTATAACATTTTTGCTATTAGTCGCATCATTTCACGTGTAGTCCCGTTTTGTAGGTTTCATAAATACCTAAAAATCTTATATGATAAGCTTTTTCGTTCCTATCAACACTTTCGATTTATTCCCAAAACACACGTTTTCTCATTCTTTGTTGTCAAATGAAAAGTTTTCCCACAAAAATTGGTGTACCCATTTTATACGTTCATATCTTAAATACCCCCTTGAACAACTTGCACCAATGACTATAGTAACCCCTATGGTATAGATATCAAATGAAAAGACTTGAGAGAAAGACTATAAGCAAAGTGATGTCATTCTCAATCCAATATGGCGACCGCCGCAAAATGGCGATTTACTTTTTTCATAGCCACCGGCATGATATGGGTATCAAATGAAAGGGCTTGATGATGGATACATAATAAACAAAGTGATGTTACTCTAGATCTAGATGGCGGATGCCGCTAAATGCCGATTTATAATTTCCATGGCCACCATGAGAGAAACAAGACAAGCATATGACGTAATTCTAAATTCCATATTGCGATGCAGCAAAATATCGAATTATCATTATATTATTTGTATTTATCGAAATTTTGTAAGAGAAATAATGTAAGAAGTTTTATATTAATGAAATGTATGAAAATTACATGGAAATTGACAAGCTAGTTATCTGACATCATAATTACTAAAAAGTAAAAAATGAACAAAATAAAAAATACACTTCTATAAACAAGATTTTATTTGGATGATAATAGAACGAACTGAAAATTTAAAAATAACTTTTCCGAATGGAAATATTTAAACGATAATGAAGTTCCGCCGTCTCAAATTTTGAAATAAAGGGTGGCCGATCCGCTGGTTTCTTTTTTAAATTGGTATTAAAACTACACTCTTCAATAATATGTAATATTCGATACTTTATTTAAAAGAATACACCTTCCGATTATTTACGAAAAACAATTTCAGTTAAATGGCTGCCGCGGCTGGCCTGGCAGTAGTCCATCCTCTTAACCCAATTTTGAAGCACATTTTCGATAGTTTGTGGGTCTATTTCATCAATAGCTCGACGGATATTTTCCTTAAGAACATCAATTGGTTGAGGATCGTTAGTGTAACAGCGGTCCTTAACAGTACCCCATAGGAAGTAATCCATGGGCGTTAAATCACAGCTGCGAGCTGGCCAATGAACGCCTCCAAGACGGCTGATAACGCGATGACCGAACTTAGTGTGTAAAAGATCGATTGTTTCACGGCTGATGTGACATGTTGCGCCATCCTGGTGGAACCAGAGATTGTGCAAGTGCATGTCGTGTAATAGTGGTTACAGCAAAACTCCTCAACATGTCTCTATAGCGTTCCCGGTTTACCGTCACGCTGTTACCATCTTCATCGTGAAAAAAGTAGGGACCAATAATCCCACAACTCCAAAAGCCACACCAAACAGTTACTCTTTTTGGATGCATTGGTTTTTCTATGACGACATGTGAATTTTCAGAACCCCAAATCCTTCAGTTCTGCTTGTTAACGTAACCTCCCAGATGGAAATGGGCTTCCTCCGAAAAGATGATTCGGTGACCAAAATTAATGTCCGTTTCCAATTGAATTAGAGCCCCCCCAGAGAAACGATATCGAAGCAGATGGCCATTTTGTTTCAACTCTTGAACAAGTTGTAAGGAAATAATCCAGATCGTTCTGCAATATTCTCCGCACAGAAGTGCGACTGATGCCCACTTGTGCTCTGTGACGAGTTGACATTCTTGCGTTTTCACGCACACTCTGGCCAATAACAGCAATGTTTGTGGCTGTACTTACGGGTCGAACACGCTCATATCTTCTGTTATCCACAAGCAGTCCAGTTTCACGAACCTACTTCACGAATTTTCGGTATACCAATCGCTTAATTCTGACCAAATAGTCTCCTCAATTTTCGCAAAGTTTGTGCAACACAGGACTCACTTTGAAAATAGTTTTTCAATACTTCCCACCTTTGTTCAAGATTAAAATGATCCATTGCTCACAGCGGAAGTTTGACACAATATATCTGTGAATATTTTGAGCATGGAAGTGATACCTAGCGTCAAAATAATATCAACTTAAGAAATAACAACTGATGGCCCACCCTTTAAAAGCGTGTTATGTTTTAACAGCAGGATTATTTAATTTTTTGTAAATAAATTTGTATCAATGCATGGGAAGTGGTCAGTCTAATTGACTAAATTTTTTTCCAGGTGATTATCGTACCTCACAGCCACAACGACCCCGGCTGGCTGAAGACCTTCGAACACTACTTCCGGTACAGCTCCTTACCTATCATGAACAACATGGTGGGCAAACTACAGCAGTACCGGAATTTGACTTTCATCTGGTCCGAAGCTGCCTTTTTAGCAGCCTGGTGGGAAGAGGCTCACCCTAGCAAACAGAGAGCGCTCCGGGAACTGGTGCGTTCTGGACGATTGGAGATCACCACGGGGGGATGGGTGATGACCGATGAGGCTAATGTGCATTTATATGCTATGGTAGATCAACTCATCGAAGGTAAGCGAGATTTGAGATTTTAATTTATTTTTTTTGGCACGATTTTATTAGCTTGACGTATATGGATGTAATTTTCACCAATTTAACGAAGTCTAATTAACTTGAAAATTTGCATAGGTGTCAAGGACTGATGACAATGCAATAATCTTGGAAAACATCGCATTTGAAGATTCTTATTAAATTGGGAATTTGGAAAAAATTTAGATAGGAGAATTTGGAAACTACGGAAATTTGGAAGTAAATTTCGATTTACTGTCAAGTATAAAACATATCAAAAACCAAAGCTCTTGACTGTAAGTACATACTTATCGTTTTAAGACTGAAAATTCAGAAAATAAACTAGTTCAAAAAAAACTGAAAAACACGCTTTAATAGCAAATCGAGTCAAAAAGTAGTAGAAAACAATTTTTAAGTAAGTATAGGAAAGTTTGTGTAACTGGAATGGAAAAGTCCAACAATCGAGTATGACTAATTAATTTGGAATCAAATCAGTATAAAGATTAAGATGAAAAATACAGTTATAGTAAAAAAACGTTGGGTGCAGTTAACTATTTTTTCATAATCCTGTAACTAGCAACTGAAGAAATAACATTTAATATCAATCATGGAAAGGATCCCGCAGAAACCATATGGAAAATGGAAAATCCCAGCCCCAGTTGGTTTGTCTAAAAATTCAGTATGATATATTTCTTGATTTCCTCAACAAAAGTTTGCAAAAATGTTGAATGTGTCGATTTCGGACCAAATAATCAGGGAATTGTTATTTTGAAGAAAGTATTTCGTTTAAAAACTTTTTAAGAAGATATAAGGAGGTGCTCTTGGAAATACTAGTAGCATTCACCACATAGTTAAGACGTAATTACAAAATTATCGCAGACCCGATCAACTCGCTTCAGAGGTAGTTCTCCTCGGGGATTTCAATGCCCATAATAAACTTTGGTTGGGCTCAAATACGACCGATGCAGCAGTTCGTGCAGTTGAAGCGTTCGCTGTTACTCAAGGGCTGACTCAGCTGGTAACGAACTTTTTTTCCCGCGTCTCGTCACATGCCACTAGCCTGCTGAATCTCTTTCTGACCACGCATCCTGTCCCTTGCAGCACTGCTGTCCTATCCACCTGGGTAACTTAGACCACGGTTTTGTGGAGGTGAGGTTAGGTTTCGTTCAGAACTTGCTGTGGTAGCAGAAACTGGCCAAGGCCGTAAAATTTTGGCATTACGGACATACCGACTTCTTCTCTACTTTTCCTTGGAGAGATGTTTGTTTCCCTGACGCAGATGCGTCTGCTGTCTGTTCGATAAGCGAAATCATCCACGTTGGAATGGAGGAATATATTCCTCATAGAGTGAAAGTGCCTAAACCAGGGTCTAACGGCTGGTTTAACAAATCGTGTGACACTGCCCGCCAACAGAAGATCAAGGCATACAGAACCTTCTTACAGAATCCCAATGTAGAGGACAGACAAGCCGATGTCGAGTCCAGAAACAAGTATAACAAAGCGGTTCGCAATGCCAAAAACCAGCACGATGTAAAAGTTAGGCACAGGGTAATGTCGCAGCGCAATGACAGTCGGACTTTCTGGACGCTGGCCAAGCAGATTGAAAAGAACTCCTCACACAGTAGCCTTCCAACACTGACGTGTCAGGATGTAATGATTGTAACCGACTCAAAGGTCAAGGCGGAAATGCTTGCCAAGATCTTTGCTGCCAACTCCACCATGGACGTCCCTCCCAACGCGCAAGTTCTGTCGATTCAAAGGGTTCCCACACTATGCAGGAAGTAACATTCAGGCATAAGACTATAAGACGGGTGCTCTTGTCCCGCGAGATCAACATAGCTTCTGGTCCGGACTTGATTCCTGCCATTGAACTGAAGAGGTGTGCAGCGGAGCTTGCTCCAGTTCTTTAGCGTCTCTTCCAGATATCTTATGAATCCGGCACCTTCCCAGAGAACTGAAAATTTGCTAATGTCCAACCCATCCCAAAAAAAAAGGATCTAAGACCGACCCTTACAACTACGGGTCTATAGCTCTGCTTTCTGTTATAAGTAAGGTTGTCGAGAGGTGCATAAATCGCGAGCTTTTGGTAGTACCTAGACCTCCTAGCTTACGTCATGCAATTATGGAGCAAACTCATCCAGTCTTATGGTGAGGTTCATGTCGTTGCCCTTGATATCACGAAAGCGTTCGATCAGCTGTGGCACGCTGCCCTCTTAAGCAAACTTCCATCCTATGGCCTCCCAGAAAAGCTTTGCAGATGGGTGGCTGACTTTATCTCTGGCCGCAAGATATCCGTCGTAATTGACACCCACAATGTCAACGCGGGTGTTCCCCAGGGATCGGTCTTGGCTTCGACACTGTCTCTCTTACATATCAACGACCTCCTTTCGTGTACAATCAACCCAATCCACAGCTTCGCTGATTACAGCACTCTCCATGCAGGAATTCAGAGTGACAGGCCGATCTCTGCTGCTGAGCTGGAAAATCTAAGACTAGCGACGAGTTCCTCTCTGACAAGAGACCTGGAGGTTATCACTGCTTGGTGACGTAACAATATTGTACAGTTCCAAAACACAGTACTGCGCCTTGACGAACAAAAAGCATCCTATCACTCATCAGGTTTCGTTGGATGGCAGAGTTCTGCCAAAGAACCGTTCATTTCGGCTGGTCGGGGTCCAGATCACAGAGGACTTGATATGGCTCGAATGCATTTCGTCAATAGCGGCAGCTGCTGGGAAAAAGGTAGGCTAAGTGTTTAGGGCTAAGAAGTACTTTTCTCCTCATGACCTTCTCACTCTATACAAGGCGCAGATAACGCCTAGCCTCGAGTATTGCTCACACGTTTGGGGTGCTGCCGCCCCGACCACATTATTTATGCTCGATGCTGTTCAGAGAAGGGCTGTCCGACTGATCGATGACTCTTCTCTAACAGACAGCCTCCGGACCCTTTCGCCGGGCCGTCGGCGATCTAGCTCTCTTCTACCGCTACACCAACGGCTTTGCTCCTCAGAGCTCTTTTCCATGATGCCGCCGCGCGATGTGCCTGCCAGACAGACCCGCCTGACTTTGGCTTCCCAAACTAACCGTGTCGAACTTGGTACATCCAGAACTGGACGATACGACCACAACATTTCTTTGGGACCTCATAGCTGCCGCGGTGTTCCGGCATTTAGGCTTCTGCCTGCACGGCTGCTTCGGTATAAAAAAACCCACTTAGTAAATTATTGCTAACCCGATTCACCATAATTTGTAAGTTGCATTCGCCTTTTTTGCGAATTCACCACAAATAACACAAATCTACCGTATTTACAAATTGGGGTCACCATGTCACATTTGTAAGATGAATTTATCATAGCTGGCAGCCGCAACCATATATTCACAAACTGGACTCAACATGTTCTTAAAGCGCCTTCTCATATTTGCAAATCACACCACATGTTTAAGACGCACTTACCATATTATCGCAAACTCAATTCACCATATCTAAATACACACACACAGCACAAAGTGTCATCTATTACCAGAACCGATCGCTGTGAAAGTGAAAACATCAAGCTGATACCTGACATCCATGCATACCGAGCAGGCCGTGGGTTATTGGCACGATTTTCCAAATGGAAGGGTCCTTGCAGAAGGAGCGCAAACCTAACATAATCAGATTAGTACATAATAGAAACTCAGCTACTAATAAAAAGGCAGTGGGCGTTATACGTGCATTACTTATTGTACGTGGACGTTTGTGTTTTTGAGTATCAGCCACAGAGTAATCCACAGCCTACCTGGGGAGGGTTAGAATGGCTCTCTGCTCTTTTATATGCCTTATTGAAAGTTCTTTGATGAACTGACTGAGAGGAAGAATATTGAGATCTGAATGTAGTAGTCTAATCATATTATCAAATTTCCAAGAAATAATTGTAAAGTCTGGTTTTATTGGTGCAAGTTGTTCAAGTTGGTATTTAAAAAATAGACGGATAAAATGGGTACACCAATTTTTGTGAGAAAACTTTTTATTTCACAACAAAAAATGAGAAAACGTGTTTTATGGGATTCACTCGAAAGTGTTGACAGGAAGAAAAAGACTTTTCAATTAAGATTTTTAGGTATTTATGAGACCTTCAAAATGAGACCATACTTAAAAGGATCCGACAAATAGCAAAAATGTTATGGCCGAAAAACGAGGCAAAATGCGGGTTTTGGCACTTGTTGGTAATGCGACGACAAATTCACGCAACTACTTGAAATTCTCCAAATCCGTAGGATTCATACTTCTAAATAACAACAAGAAAATTGGATTATATTGGTCAAGTAGTTTTTTGAGAATCACTAAGTGTTTATCCCAAAACACCTGTTTTCCGACCATCACTACTAGTTTAATGAGCAATATACAGGGTTCGTTCAAAGAGCATTTAATAGCAAAGTACACGTGCTTACCTTGCCGATAAGAATCACAAACCATTCCGAAAGATGACTGTTATTTTTATGCGAAAAACAAAGGTTACGCTTTTTTTTCTTCTAAATAAATTCAAATATTTCGTAATTGAACAAATACGCACATTTTTAAACAAGGCGGATGTGTCTATCACCTTTTGTTGGGAACTACTTACAAATACGGAGAGTTTGAATTTGTTTAGAAGAAAAAACGTAACCCATCATTTTTTGCATAAAAATAACATTTATCTTCCGGAATGGTTTGTGATTCATATCGGCAAGGTAAACTAGTGTATTTTGCTATAAAATGCCCTTTGAACTAACCCTGTATATTGCTCAATAAACTAGTAGTGATGGCCGGAACAGGTGTTTATCTACTCCAATTTTGTTGTGGTTGTTTAGAAGTACGAATCGTACGAATCTGAAGAATTTTGTAGGACTCATAAATACCTAAAAATCTTATATGAAGAGATTTTTCGTTCCTGCCAACACTTTCGATTGAATCCCAAAAAAAAAACGCATTTTCTCATTCTTTGTTGTCGAATAAAAAGTTTTCCCACAAAAATTGGTGTACCCATTTTATGCGTCCATGTTTTGAATACCGCCTTGAACAACTTGCAAAAATAAAACCAGACATTACAATTATTCCGCAAACCAGGGGTATTTTCGTCTAATATGATTAGATCATATTTATAAATCATTCACAATATTTTAAGACGAATTCACCATACTTGAAAATCGCATTAACTATTCTCAATATTATAAACAACACACGTGTTCGCTTTCGCCATATTTGAAAATCACATTCACCTTATTTTCAAGACGCACTTGCCACATTATACAAGGTATCCAGGAATAAATTTCCCTTTTTAAACTCGAATAACTTGGCAACAGTGTAACTTAGCGTGGTCGACGTAGCGGCCTTCGATGGTGGATCGATGCGGATTATTTAGTCAAAATGGAGCGTTGGTCTGTTGCGCATCGTCCGTTCATGATTGAGGCACGTTTCAAGAAAAATGTCTCGTACACAATTGCAAGACGAAGGCTTTGTGCTCTCTTTAATATTAGGCGTATGGAGGACGCACCAAGTAAACATTTAGTGAAATCGTGGGTGAAGATGTTTAGAGAAACATCGTCAGCTTTAAATGTGAAACGCCCTGGCCTCCAAGGACTGTAACTACTCCTGAGAATGTTGAAGCCGTACGCGCCGCTATTATTCAAAATACAAGTGGATCTGTTCGTAAAACATCACAGGTGGTGGGACTGCGTAAATCATATTCAATTTTGAGGAGAGATTCAAAGCTTCATCCCAACAAGATCCAAATAGTGCAAGAATGACTTTATAAATCGTCGTTCCTTCGCCGAAACAGTTATATACCGTTTTTTGCCAATTACCGAATGAACAACATTCTGATCAGTGACGAGGCGCACCTTTCAGACGCAGATAATAAGCAAAAATGTCGCTATTGGGTACCAGAGAATCCAAGGCAAAAACACGAAAGGCCCCTACATAGCCCAAAAGTAACTATGTGGCGTGCAATTATCGGTCTGTTCTTTTTTGAGAGCCAATGTGGCATATCCCAGACTATAACTAGTGATCGTTATTGTGCAATGCTTCGGGAGTTTTTGATCAAGGTTTCAACAAGACGGCGCTACCGCTCATACAGCCCGAGCAACTATGGAAGTCGTTCGAGAATTATTCTCGGAAAAGGTCATCTCTCGCTTTGGAGACCTAAACTGGCCGGCTAGGTATCCAGATCTCACCCCATCGGACCTTATTTGTGGGATACCTTAAAAGTAAAGTTTATGTTAATCGACCTAGGACTTTGCAAGAATTAAAACAAAAAATACGGGAAGAAATTAGAGCAATTACACCTGAATTATGTTGAGCAATTTTTGACCACATGAAGACGGCATTTGTGGGGGTGTTTCGACCTAAATGGAAGGCACCTCGACAATATAATTTTTAAAATATGAAATCTTCTATACTGTGTGTATTTTTGCTTCAATAAATTAATTTTTTAACTTCGCGACAAGTTTTTATTAGCCTTTAAAAGGAAGGGAAGTTGCATATACCAAATTTGCTAATTCACCATAAATAAGAAAAACCGACATCATCTTTGTAAATCATTCACCATATTTTCAAGACGAATTCACCTTGGTTAAAAATTGCATTCACCATAAACATTATAAACATGATAAGTGTTCTCAAGGCGTTTTCACCATATTTACAAATCGCATTCACCATATTTGCAAACACCACTCGCCATATTAAAACGCATTCAGTATTATGTTATGAGTTATTTTGTTAACAGGTCACCAATGGTTGTGGTCAAATCTTGGAATCCGACCTGTATCAGGTTGGTCTGTAGACCCTTTTGGGCATGGTAGTACAGTGCCGTACCTTCTGGCATCGTCAGGAATAAACGGTACTGTTATACAGAGGATCCACTATGCTTGGAAACAGTGGTTGGCTCTCAAACAGTATGGTGACTTTCGGTAAGTTTTAATTCATAAAATACTAATGATGGGCGGTAATTAAAAATATGGTAATTTTTCTGGAAGATCAAGAAATGGAGTATTGTGAATATCCAAGCCATTGCGGATACTAATCGGAAATAGAACTTGAATATTTTTCAAATAACGTCATGGAAAAGTGTCATTACTATACACGGTGTTAAGGAAATAATATTCGTAGCTTTAAGAGGTGACTCCTTGCATTATTCTAAGCAAAAAAGTGCATTATAACCTCCGAAAATCAACCGTTTCAGAGCAAAAAAATGTCCGAACTTATTTCTTTTTAGTCATGAAATAAATTAATTTTGCACCTTAATAATTTAAATTCATATGCCTTATAGCATAAAATGTATCAATACATCTATTTGTTAATTAACTGTGTCTAACAAAATAATTTTCTTGCTTATTAAATGCAATTTTCTGAAAAAAACAGACAAACAAAATCCCTGACACAACTGGCAACGTCGTACTCCGCACTGCATGTATTCTCGCATGTTGTGGTTATTACTAATACATTTATGTGATTTACGGATGTTGGTTTTTTTATTTTTTCGTTTTCGTTTCAAATAAGTGACTGATAATCGTGGGAATTAGTGGTGTGTATCACCACGTACCGGTAAGTTCTGTCCTATTTTAAGTAAATGTACTGTACTGAAAGCCTTATTAAATAAAAAATAATAGCCACAAAAAGTTGCGTAAAAGTATTCAATAATTCAATGCATGTTTTCAACAAAAATATCATACAAACGTAAACAATTCGATGAATCAGTTGTGGTCGTATCGTGGTTGCGTTGCAGCGTTGCCGGATGTTTGAGAAAATTTAATTATTTACGACTCACTTTCCTCGAAAACGATTGATTTTCGGAGATAAGTTATAACGAACTTTTTTGCTTAAAATAATGAAAGGAATCACCTCTTAAAGCTACGAATATTATTTCCCTAACACCCTATATACTTTACTCCAAAAGTTTCCCCGTTAAGCTTCACCAGCGTATTTCCAAACTAGAACTAACTTTTTTATTCGTATTTTACTTCAGATATACAAAACAAATGATTTGAGAAATATTCCTCAAGAGACATAATTGATGTATAACTAATATCCTTTTTTCTGTAAGGATCAACATCACTCTGTTCCAGTTGATTTTGAAGTTTTTTCTAAATTTTAAACTTGGTTTTTGCAACTTTCTGCTCATTTCAGGTGGCGAAGAAAACATTTTTTAGGGACCCAACAATTTTAGAATAGACTTATATCTTACTTATTAATAATAACGAATGTTATTAAGTACTAAAAGCTAATAAATAACATTCATGAACTTCGTTTTCCGACTGGTCATTTTTCTTAAATTTCAAACTTTGTTTTAAGACTTTTTTACTGTCTGGTCATTTTACTTTGGGGTTGAGGCAAACAAATTTATGGGATTAAAAAAATATGAAATAATTAATTTCTTATTTACACTTATCACTTATAACGTTTAGATTTCTCAACAGTCTACTTGCATCAGTTTATTTTATTTGACTGCTCATTTTCATCGATAAACCGGAAGAACATATTTTGAAAACAATTTTATTTTCTTCCCAGATGGACCCCAGCGTGGTCACCATCCGCACCCTCAGCAACGCTCCTAACTCACAACCAGCCCTTCGACATCTACTCGATTAAACACAGTTGTGGTCCCCAGCCGTACGTCTGCCTCAACTTCGACTTCCGCAAAGTGCAAGGGGAGTACACGGAGTACTCACTGAAGGCACAGCCTGTCACTGACAAGAACGTTAAAGAAAAGGCCGAGTTGTTACTCGAACAGTACTACAAGACCGGATCGTTGTTTCCGCATAATGTCGTACTTATGCCTTTAGGTTAGTAGAAAGAGACCTTATACCAAGACTGTCATATCCGTTTTTCATCAACAATTTCTCTACGAATTTATTCAGCTGGATTTGTTCAAGGTTATCCTGATGATATTTTGATATTAAATCAAAGGACAAATTCATGAGTATCTGGCAATACACAGTGCTGTCAACCACACATCAAATTCCTGCTAGAAACTTTGAGTTCTTATACACTACTCACAGAATTAAGGGATCAAGAAAAAATCCAATTTTTTTTTTCGTATTGTTTTCCATGTCAACGCCGTAGAGAGGTGGCGCATATAACCGAATTATTCGTGAATGTTGCAATGTTTTTAAGCAGAACACATGAGTCTGCGAATTTCAAACGATTTGGCTATCTCAACTCAATACGCCATTTTTTGGACTTATACTGTTCTTGGACTCACCTATTCAATTGTAGGACCCCTTTAGGGCCTCCTTTATTTTCATAGTTGTCTACTGTTTCGCGTCAGCCCTCTAAATTGAGGTTATGTCACAGATACATATTTGCATCAAATTGTTCATGCTTTTGATTTATATTGTTTTATCAGCCCCACATTTCATGCAATTCAAAAATAAAAATAGGAGGTAGCTGCCACTGTAGAAATCTGGAAATACCCCAGCCTTTCTAAAGGAGAAAATACTATGAAAATCACGGAGGCCATAAAATCGTCCTACAATTATTGTAGGAACGACTGACGATACGGTCCTAATACCAGCATTTTGAAGCTTTAGCATTCCAGTTCTTAGGTTTTTTAGACGAAAAACTTTAGGAGCAACGGTTCTTATGCAATTCTAAAGGAAACGTTTTTGGAAAATTTTTGCCCTTTTTTAGTTCACGGGTCTTAATTTTTTTCCTGTTGCGTCATCAGATAGCCCGTTTATTCAGCTTCAATAACTTTTTTAACTCTTTTAAGATCAATACTAAGAAAACAAAAAGAATCCTCGAAGATTGCAATCAAATCTTATAGGCGATTTATTCCAGTTTTCGGAAATACTCTTACATTGTATGTGCTATCACTGGTTACCGAGATCAATGGTTGATGACAAAATGATCTTTTTTCATTCAAAGTCAGATATTTCAGCGCCAAATGATCGTATCGAGATTTTAAAATCGGGACATTGAAGGTGAATAAACAAGCTATCTGACCCATATAATGGCCTAACAGAAAAAAAATTCAAGCCCAAGGCCAAAATTTTGCAAAAAATATCCCTTGCGCTATCTGATAGAATTGCATGGGAACCGTTGCTCCTAAAATTTTGTTGCTAAAAAACCTAAAAACTAGCATATTAAAGCTTCAAAATGCCTTTTTGCCTTAAAGTCTAGATACAACAATTTTTCACCGGAATACAACCTGACAAAAATTGCCGAAAAAGTTTTTCCCTTAATCTTTTTGAGTTATTTAATATAATGGAAAAGAGAACAAGGTTGGTATCATGGAGCTTAACGTCCAAATTGGCAAAAATTAGGACAGCTTCTAATTGCATGAAGAAATCCATGAAGAGGATAATAAAATTATTTGAAGTAAAATTCCTGCTTTATACATTTAAAATTTGGCCATGAACTTGATTCGTGTAGAAATCTATGGATTTATTTTTTTGAGATTTATTCAGCATGATTACTACAATTACATTCTTTTAAAAACTACAAAAATTACATAACACAAAAATATTTAGAAAAACAAAACCTGCATCTCTAAGAATGTTCACTGTTCCTGTAATTTTCTTTTAAACATCTTTTAATTACAAGTATATTATATCATTATTTATATCATCATTAGCTTTATATATCATTATTTAGCTTATTAAATTTAAATGATCCCCTCTAAAATATTGATTTGCTAGTTATATTACTATTGAATTTTTGCGAATAGCATATATATTTCCTCTTGTATAATAATTGTGGTAATGATAATTCAATTCTATGTAATATTCTAAATGTTGTCGCGAAAGATGATTTTTTATTGTAAATCCTAAAATAACCAAATATGATATGAAATTTTGTATATTCATCTACTGCAATTCTTGTAACAAAGATTTTATTTTGATTTACTTTTATTTAATATGATTCTCGTAGCTTTATTTTGTTGGACTTTGAGAACACAGCTTCATTGGCAGTGAACAAGATAATTGAACAATATAGTAAATGCGGTAGAGTAATTGTTATTATAAATGATCTTTTTTGAATATGTACTAAGGCTATGAGAAGCAGCAGGCAGCAGCTGTGGCCGCAGTAGTAGACTCTTCGGTCTCCTGATCAGTCGCCGTGTGCCGTTCGGGTTCGAGTCCTGTCCGAGGAGAGATTTTGCTCTTGCTATGGATGTTGTGATTGTCCGTAGGTGGTAGACAATACCTGACTGTCGAACGCGGAGGTACCACCCGGCGGATCTCGTAGGCGGGGCCAGAATGTGTACATGTTGCATGCACACGTGTTCCCTCGCCAGAGTCCGTGTGGCGTTCCCCCTGTCCCATGTATCCCCCCTATAGCCCCACGGGACCCAATGGGTGCTTAGGCCTTCGTGGTAGATGGAGTATAAAAGAAACTATAAAAGTAATTTGTTTTTTGACAATTTTTAAAATACTGTGTACGTAGTGATCCTCACACTTCATTTTACTATCAGTATATAAACCCCAAATATGTAATTGAATCAACTTTTGCAACTATTATCTATATATTTTTATTCAAGTATTTCCCAATTAGCTTACATTTTTATTTACATTCATCTGCCAATAACTTTTTTATATACTTGGGATACAAGGGAAAGGGGGGATACCACACAGTCTCTAGCGAGGGAACATGTGTACATGCAACATGCACACATTCTGGCCCCGCCTTAGAAATCCGCCTGGTGGTACCTCTGCGTTCGACAGTCAGAGACCGTCTACCAGCTACAGTCTACCTATCTGAATTTTACAATAATCTAAAATATCATTAATGTCATTAATGTATAAAATAAATAGTAGTGGACCAAGTATACTTTTACTACTTTGTGGTATACTAATGAATAATACATTTTTTTCAGGTGATGACTTCCGTTATAATATTAGAGAAGAATGGGACCAACAATACCTAAATTATATAAAACTCATCGACTATATCAATGCCCACAAAGGAGAATATAAGGCAGAAGTGATGTTTGGTACTCCATCTACATATTTTCAGGTAGATTTTTTTCGCATTTTAACGCTCATGATGTTTCATACTTTGTTTACAAATACTTTGGAACATCTAGTAGCCTAGTGTCAAACTCAAGTGATTGCAATAGGAAGCAGGTTTGTCTTGTGGACTGGTCCATTCCAGTTTCAGTTAGCAGGTTACAATTTTTAATGGCAATATTGTTTGCCTAGGTATTTTAGGTATAGCATTTTTATTTTAATGCCGTTACGAATTTCATATTATTTCTGTCAAAACTTTTTGCTTTGAATACTTGACATGTCAGCTCCTGCTTGTGTACTTTTCGTTTTATCACCCGACTGCCTCAGAAGGAGGGTTATCTTTTTCGCTTGTATGTGGACAACAAATTCTAATTCACGAGCTACAGACCAAACGTCTTGATGGTTTATATGAGGTGCTTTTGGATTCGTCTTAGCAGTGTGAGTGACACTGACTATAATACAATTTTATAAAAACAAAATTTGCGGATACTATTAAAAAAATTCAACATAGAAATTCTTGTTTCACGGGCTACAGCCGGAAATGCTTGAAGAATTTTGACATTTGAGTAATCTCTATATTTGTATTGACAGTGCGAATGACAATGGGTGTATACCACAAAATTTTAGTAAATCAGTCTGGCGGATTTTACACTCTAACTTCAACTTTGAAATTTGTATTTCACTGGCTACAGCCCAAAAATGGTTTGATGGATGTAGACAGGTGTCCTCAGATTCGCCTTGAAAGCACAATTAAATCTACATTCTTTTCAGGTACTGCAGACTGTTCGAAAATGAGATATTATCCTTTTTAGGTGTTACATAAAAAACCATATCTCGTTTCCTTGGGTCTGTCCGCTAGTTTGTCCCCTCTATAACTTGGACAGTACCGCTCGGATATTGATGGAGTTTCCACACAGGGTTACTACTATTCGTAAAAGCTTTGTAGTTTTTGAAAATCGGCCCAGTGGCAGCGGAGTTGGGGCAAAAAAAACAAAATTCCCTTAAACTCCATTTTTTTGACGTTTCAGAGGCTGCTAATCATTTTTGGAAAAAAACTGTACGGGTTGAAAATTGGGGGTTGGGGTTTGTAGGAGGTAGAGGGATGTAAATGTTACATCTTTAGTAATAGTCAGAGACGTTCTATCATTAAGAATCTTCTGATCCCGGTAACAACGGGAAAATTAAATGATAAATGTCCGATGTAACTCGCAATCATTGGCGTTGCGTGCACGGCGCGATTCTGCGACGCTGCATCGTCATGGAGACCAATGCCGACTGTGCAATGGGTAACATACTCTAACTGGTAAACATGCGGCGGTGTCGGCACTGTCACACCGCTACAGGAGAATATTAATATATTTTAGGAATATTTGGGTATTAGGAGTACGTACTACTTTAGTGTTCTGCGGTACTTTTGGTAATGCCGACTTATTTTTTGTTTATACATACATATCTACATATATCTTTTTCTGAATTTTATGATCCTTACCCATGTCGCCTAACATTTAATTTGTGTTAGTCTGGGATGGTTCTCTGAATATTTCGTCAAGTAGATTGACTCAGTACTTATGACGGATTTATATACAACAGGCACGGACTGACAAACCGACTTTAATGAGAAACACGAACTTGTATAATGCAGATATCTTTAAGCAACAGAAAACTTGAGAAATGAAGTCCGTTTAAGTGGTTGTAGATTTTGAAAATTGTTTTAGTGGCGGCGGATCTACGAACAAAAAATTAAAAATCGCTGGACGATAGTGTTACGAGGGATGTCTTTTAAGGCCCGTATCGTCAGTCGTCCCTACAATTGTAGGGCGCGTTTATGGCCTCCTTGATTGTCATACGCCTTTCTCTCCTTCAAAAATTTCTAGATTACACTTGTCTCATGTCAGCGTCAGCGCTCTCCTATTGTAAAGATATGTTTTCCTTTTAAATTGTAGGAAATTTTAAACTGATAAAACATGATATAACTCAAAAGCAAGCACAATTTGATGCAAATAGATGTTTGTGACATAACCTCAAAATAGAGCGCTGACACGGAGAAGTAGAAAACTATGACAGTCAAGGAGGCCATAAAGGCGCCCTACAATTGTAGGGACGACTGACGATACGGGCTTAAATGAACCTACCTAATCACGACTTGATTTTACCCTTTGAAACTACATTTTGTAAAATGTACTTGTTTTTGGAAGCACTTTCCGTCTTAGCATTTTCAATGACCTTATGTTTCTCTTTTTTCAGGAAATAGTGAAACGATACTCACAATACCCAACGCTAAAAGGTGACTTTTTCGTCTACTCTGACATTTTCACAGAAGGTCGACCTGCTTATTGGTCGGGATATTTCACAACTCGGCCCTTTATGAAACTGTTAGACCGAGAACTAGAGGCAAATCTGAGATCAGCTGAAATACTGTATACAGTCGCTTTGAACAGTGCTAAACAGAATCGGTTAACTTCCTATTTGAAGGTTTTGGAGCGGGATTTTGAGAAACTTGTGAAGGCGAGGAGAAATTTAGGTGAGGATTTTCAAACTATCTTCCGATGGATACATGGAAACGAGAAGATGCAAAAAAAATTATTTATGGAAAATCTGCGAATAAAATGTAAAATCACAAAAGAAGAATTAACATTCAATGTTTTTATTTTATACAACTATGATATAATGAATAAACCGGAGTTAAAAGTTGCTTGAAATGAAACATTCTATACTAGTTTGTAAATAAGCGGTTTACATTTGAAAAATTGACTTTTTGGGTTGTTAAACATCCATTATTCAGTGTCTTTTTTTGACGCCTTGTACTATTGGTTTTGGCAAATCTATTTAAGTTGGTCCTCTACTATGAGAAACCCATTACAAGTCATAGAGCAAAAAATACTTGAAAAAGTTGTTATAACCCATTTCCCTGCCTTGTCATTTTTCAATAATATACAATGTGTCCGATTTTGTAATGGCAAAATGATGGTGACCTTGACAGAGACTTTCACTATGACCTTCAAGATTATTTCAAGGTCAAACATATTTTGAAATATTTTCTAAACCGGAATTGGAAGGAGGAGGAAATTCTATGTTCGAATATGACCTTGACAGTGACCGTAACCATGACATTCTAGGCCATTTCAAGCTCTAGGAGTAAAGGCATTCAAAACAATCTGCTCTAGTAAAAAGTTTGTGGGGTCACCCAAAGGTGGGCTTGACCATGACCTCCAAAGTGAAGTACAAATTTTCAAAGAAAACTCCACGTTTGCGTGGTTGGAAGAATCAGGAAATGTTACGTCCGAATGTGACCTTGAGCGTAAAGGTAATGTCATGCGGATCTTAAATGTTATTTGCGAGGCTACCGAAATTCTAGAATGCATACAATTTTATATTTAAATGTTAAATGTTGACATTACCTTGAAGGTCATTTCTACTAGAGAAATTTGTTTTCAATGTCTTGATTTCACATTGTAATGGCCTTGAAGATGATGGTGATGATCATAGTCAAGGCATACTCTGACATAAAATATGCGCCTCCAGATAATTACGACGAAAAGAAAGAGGGACGTTGAAATGACCTTGAAGGTCGCAGTCAAAGTCGTGGTCAAAATCACCATACTTTTCTAGGCTTTCGAAATATCTAGGTAGGGAGATTAAAATGTCTGTTATAGTCGAAATAAGCACGTTATGATCTTCTCCATTTTCAAAAATATCGCCCCAGTAAGTTCTGCTATAAACACAAATTTTCATTACAGTCTCACGTCAACTTTTTGAGTAATCGGTCGCTGGCATTCTACGTAGGACACCCTGTATACGGTGTACTAACCTACATAGAATCATTGATTCACCTATTCAGACTTGGTCGAATACTGAAATCCGGTATTCTACTACGAATCCTGAATACTGTATGTTAAATTGTATTCGCATACTCAAAATTCGAATACAAAGGAATAAAGTATACAAATACCGCTGTTTGAATATCTGGATTTAAATATGAATACTTTTTCAATATTGTAACTAAAAAAACATATGCGCACTTTACACTTGATTTTTATTTATGTATATATTTAAGCTATAAAATACATAAAATTAAAAATACATGACTATATTAAATAAAACTTGAAATACCACATCAAAGATTCACCGGGTCATATTTTACACATACTGATTGTATAATAAAAAAGCATTATTTTATTTTAATTAGATTTTTTGAAAATTAATGGAATAAAACTTAATAAGAAAATATATGAATCTTACTCAATGTACCTACGTAACTAAAAAACAGCCTTACATTTTGATATATTTTACTGTATTTGGTATCACACATCTCGTTCCTTAAGCGACCTGTGTGTGCTATCCACAACCACCGCAAACTTAAGTTGCGTAAAGCGTAACGCAATATTCATAAGAAACGGAATTCCGAAAGCAGGATTCGAATAACGGGATTTGAATACAAATTGGGGGTTCGAATATTGGGATTCAGAAATGGTATTCAGAATCCATAATATCGAGTACTGGCCAAAAAGTATTCATTCAGTCAAATACCAAACGCACAAATGTATTCGAGTGATATTCGAATACCAGCCACATGTACTCTGAATAGGATTCCAAATACCGATTATTCGAGTACTACCCAAGTTTCCACGTATTCAACCAACCTCGTTGAATACATGAATCAATGATTTTTTTTAAACAGAAACAAATGCTCCGAATGTTCCATATTGTAGTGAAATCTTAATGTAAAATATTTTTCTTTTAAGCATTGTTCCAACATCACGACGCAATCACAGGTACTTCCAAATCGTTCGTAATGCGCGACTATGGCCTTAAATTGTTCGAGGGTATCCGAGATGCCACCTCGGTACAACAGAACTGCATCCAAAGCTTCTTGTTCCCTAATGTTCCTATAAAACCGGATCACAATCTGGTACTCAGTGATATTGAAAGGGAGAGCTACGAGAAAGTTCCTAGAAAAACGGTTGTACAGGTATAGACATATATGCTTATAATTTGTTATACGTGTATGTTGATTTTGACAGCTTATAATTTGGTTTTTGATCGAAATACAGTATTTAACATATTAACCCTGGAAAAGATGTACAAGAAACTGGGATATAAGTACTGTGAGCTTGGCAGATTACCCTTATTACGATATAGAATACGGATAAGATATCTATCGTAATTGATGGGTTCTCCTCTTCATCCCACAACCTCAAAGCGAGTGTTCCCCAATGATCGATCTCATGTTTCACGTTGTTCCTCTTACATATCAACGATCTCCTTTCATGTACGATGAGTCCAATCCACAGCTTTGCTGGTGATATCACTGTACATGCAGAAATTCAGAGTGATAAACCGATCTCTGCCGATGAGCTGGAGCAAAAAAAGCCACTTCCTCTAAGACGAGAGATCTGGAGGTTATCACTGTTCGGGATCGTTCAATATTGTACAGTTTAATGCCTCCAAAACACAGTACCGTACCTTGACTAACAAGAAGCATCCTAGCGCTCATATGGTTCTACCAGAGAGTCGTTAATTTCGGCTGGTCGGTGTCCAGATCACCGAGGACTTGATCTGGTACGAACACATCTCATCATTAACGGCAGCTACTGGTAAAAAAACTAGACTGTTTGTTTAAGGCTAAGAAGTAATTGTCTTTACATAACCTCACCCAGTACAGGACCCAGATAAGATATAGCCTCGACTACTGCTCACATGTTTGGGGTTCTGCCACTCCGACTACATCATCTATGCTCGATGCTGTTCAGAGCAGGGGTATCCGACTCTTCTCTAACGGACACTCTCGGAACCCTTTCGCACCGACGTCGACGGAGCGTCGTCCAACTAGCTCTATCCTACCGCTACTCTAACAGGCTTTGGTCCTCATAGCTCTCCTCCATGATGCCGCCGCACAATGTGCCTGCCAGACGGGCCCTCCTGACTCTCCGTGTCGAACCGTTGATTAGTTTTGAATACTATATTGTACCTGAAGATGGCCTAGATGGCCAAAACGTTATAAAAAATGAATTTACGTTGACTGAAAGCCAAGAATCCTTATTCCTCTAATCAAAAAATTCTTTTCTCTACATATCCTTACCCTCTACATATACAGGGTGTAAAGTTAGTAGTGGAGATATTTGCAATTTTGTGAAATTTCGAAAAAAAAAACGGGATAATGAACTTTCAATCGCAATTACAACTAAACCATTGGGTTAAGGGCTGTGATTTTTTTTTTTTGAGATGAGCTAAAAAGTTAGTTTTAGCCATGGTTGTCACTTTTTAACACAGCTAATTAGAAATCAACGCGAAAAATCTTAAATCCATTTTTTTGTGAAAAATCTCTTCCATCCCTTAACTTTGGATAACGGTAAAAAAAATTGAGGTTGTATTTGATTAGGCAGAAATGACGGCCGCAGTAGTAGACTCTTCGGTCTACTGATCAGTCGCCGTGCGCTGTGCGGGTTCGATTCCCGTCCCAGGATAAATTTTTCTCTTGGCTATGGATGTTGTGATTGTCCGTAGGTGGTAGATGGTCGCTGACTGTCGAACGCAGAGGTACCACCCGGCGGATCTCGTAGGCGGGGCCAGAATGTGTGCATGTTGCATGCACACGTGTTCCCTCGCCAGACTCCGTGTAGCGTTCCCCCTTTCCCCTCTATCCCCCTATAGCCCCACGGTACCCCATGGGTGTTTAGGCCTTCCTGGTAGTTGGAGTATACAAAAAAGCCCCGTAAACTGCTCACATATTTGCCGCCCCGACTACGTTATACATGCTCGATGCTGTTCAGAGAAATGATGATCGATAACGGACAGTCTCGGGGCCCTTTCTTGTCGCACCAACGAGCCATCGGCGATCTGACTCTCTTCTACCGCTGTGACAACAGACTTTGCTCCATAATGCCGATATCGAGATTGTCGAACAGTCTTCCTGATGAGGCTTTTCCCAGTTCTAATAACATTAGACAGTCTAAAAATTAGATTAACTCAGTTTCTTTAAACTCCTTTTAGCAGCAGCGGTGCCCTGGTATTTCGGCTGCTTCCTTATATAAAAAATGTCTCGAAAATTGAGAAAATGATCGGTGACTTATGAAACGTCGAAAATATTTTTCTTTATAGGCATTTCTGAAAGTACTTCGTTATTTATTGTAGGTTGGCCCAATGGGAGTGAATCATACAAGGAAGATAGTACTTTTTAATCCACATACAAAACCTACCGAACACCTGGTGCAGCTTAGAGTTAACACAAGTAATGTGAAAATAACAGATAGTGATGGTATGTATTCATTCCATATTGAAGCTTCTTACAGGACCCGCATTATCCTCGACCTTCACCTCAACTCCTGAAAATTTCTCGCATGAATGCGAATTTTTGGAATCGTCAATGTCTAGATCTTTTTCCTGTCATCTCGAACTTAGATTTTTAATAAGATTGATTTTTTCAGGAAATGACGTACTGTTTCAAGTTAATCCTCTGTTAGACATAACAGAAAATGATAAGATGTGGATAGCAGCCGACGAATTTGAAGTGATTTTCATAGCGAAGTTACCAGAGCTTTCAATCACAGCCTTTAATTTAATATATACGACTGATAATAACGATAAACTAGCAACTATCTATTGTAAGAAATGTCAACGGAAAACGACAATAATCACCCAGGGTGATGTGAAAAACCGCCAAGTGCTCAGGGCGAATTTCAAAATCAAAGGTAAATGTGCTTAAATATTATCCTGTGCCACAAGAACTCTAGTCTCTTGACTTAGGATTGACGGCTTAGGCCTCATGACTCAAGACTTGTCCACTTAACGATCATGATTCGTAGCTTAAGACTTTGGATTCGCGACTTACTGCTCATGACCTATAACGCATGACTCGGTACCTAAGGCTCCTGACTTAAAATCTGTCTTGTCACTCATCGATTGAGACTGGAAACTTGAAACTCGTCACTCAATACATGAGACCTAAAACACATGTCTTAAGACTGAAGGCTCATCAGATGAAATTCATAACTCATAAGACATAAGTCTAATAACCAAAAACTTGAGCCTCATTAATTACCTACGACTCATGAATCAAGACTCAATACTCATGACTTAAACCTATGACTGGGGACTCAAGACTCTTTACTAATGACTTAATATTCGAGACTTCTCATTTATAACTTGATATTAATGGTTTCGTTACAAGACCTATGACTCGTGACTCTTGAGACTGCAGTTTTAACTTATGATTCGTGACTTACGAGTTGTTATTCTGCTCCAGACTCCCATACTTGAGACTCATGATGTAAGAGATAAGACTTGACATTTAAGACGTATTCATATGTTTTCGTTATTTATAGCTTCGCCGTTCCTAATAAAACAATTTCTATTCCAAAGATATTCCACCTGGTGACATCCAGTTAGAAAACAGCAAATTTAAGATCCTGTTCAACGGCAACACGGGCTTCATGAAGACTATCACAAGGAAACACAATCCGAAAATAATGCAGTGCGGAATACAGTTTGCAGCTTATAGAAGTGCCCAGTTTCATTCAGGTGCCTACCTGTTCATGCCTGATCCTAACGAAAGGGATTACGAAAAGGATGTCCTTCAGCAGTATAAGGATCAAAAGACAATAATGATCATTACAGGTATGTTAGTCTAAGGAGTAACAAATATTTTGCTAGACTAGGGGTTTAGAAGCTTAAAAATAAATGAAAGAATCCTATTACTACAGTTATCGCATTTTAACAATTTCTTATTTATTTTATTATACTTTTAAGATTTAGGATTTCTGGAATAAATAGTTTATTTTGAAATTGAATCTATACGCGGGACTGAATATGAATAAAAATTTGAATTATACTTCGAAGTTGAGTCATTTATTTTAACAGTGAGTAGATCTGATCAAAAGAAATGTTTTTTTCCTTTACCATTTTTCTGGTAAAATTAAAGTAACAAAGTTATAGTCCTTTGGAAGTTTGAGTACCGCCCTGTCTCAATAATAATATTATGTGCTCGTGTTTGGCAACAACGGATATAATCCGCCTTATCGGTTCATCGCATCGGAAACAAAAAAGCGAAAGAATTTGTAACGATGTTTTTACAATTATTTTATTCAGTTCAGTTATACATATAGTCAGTGTCAGTCGGTAAAGCGTGTGAATAGTGTCTGTTGCGTGGCTCAAACGAAATAAAAAATGGCACATGTTTATGCGGATCGGTTTCCCAATCGAGTGCAACCAACTCCTCGTGCCTTTGTTAATGTAGTACAACGGCCTCGTGAATCAGGTGACTTAAGACCTCACAGGGGACGGCACGCCGATGCTCCAAGACCTCACGATCAAATACAGGTCCGCACTGAAATACTTGTCGGGAGGATACTTCATAAAACAAGGTAAACTTTTTTTTTTATTTTTACACACATATTTTGGTTTATCTTCCTTCGTACAATCATTATCTGAAAATTAATGACTCAACTTCAAAGTCACCCTGTATAATTTATCCGTCAATGCAAATAAAGAACATAATTTTGAAAATAGTCTAATTGCTACTTCTCACAGTTTGCTAAAAATAACATTGCTAAACCACTGGTTCTAATCGCCACTCGGATAGATAATAAATTAGTTTGTAAGACCTCACATGTAGATTTTAAATGCATGATGTGGCCAATAAATGGTATGGTGTGGTGTGGTGTGGAAGTACCAGATGTACGGATTTTATTTTTTTAAGATGCCACATGTAGTATATCTAAATTCTAAAATGTACAGTTTTGGAAATACCTGTATTTTAATACCTTTTTCTATACTTTAAAATTGTGAAATGACGCATGACCAATAACTGAAAAATCAGGACTTGAGACTCAAGCCATAAGACTCATATCTTAAGACGCATCAAATAAGACTACTCATGACTGAAGATTCCAAACTCATGCTTAACTCTCACGACATAAGACTTGTTACTTAAGGCTCTTTTCTTAAGGCTAATGACTCGTGTCTTCAGACTTATAACCAAGACTCATGACTTTAAATTCCTTAGATAGAACTCGTGATTCGTGACGTGACTCATTACTTAGAACTCGTGACCTACACATATGCCCATGTCTTAATCCATGACTCATGAGTTTTGCTAAAGTAAAGTATTTTTTTTAATATAATTTGTTAATGCTAAATCTTTTCTTGAGCAGCCTGTATTTTAATGTTATTTATCTATACTAAAATTTAAAAAAAATTATTGTTTTTTTATGATTTCAGGTCCTGTCTCCACGGAAATAACTGTAATGTACGGCCCCTTTTTGATGCACACTGTTTCTGTGTATCTCACAGAAAACTCGACATTATCCGATTTGATAGCAATAGAAAACATCGTGGATTTCGAAAGCCCACCAAAGAACCGTGAGACTGAACTATTCATGCGTATCGTGTCTGATGTCCAAAATGGAGAACCGCCTGAGTTCTACTCGGACCTGAACGGGTTCAGTATGCAGAAACGAGTGAAGGTAATGATTCTTTTGAGACAACATGGCAATATTTTTGATTGAATGGAATAATGGCCTCAAGATATACGTCGTAATTGACGGGTTCTCCTCTTCATCCCACAATGCCAACGTGGATGTTCCCCAGGGATCGGTCTTGGCTCCGACATTATTCCTCTTACATATCGACGACCTGCTTTCTTCTGCAATTCGGTTTCGATGTACGGCTGAGTTTTATCAAAGAAAAGTTCTGCTGGTCGGAGTCCAGATCACCGAGGAATTGATCTGGCACGAACACATCTGGGCAGCTGTGGGGAAAAGCTATTTGTTTAGGGCTAAAAAGTACTTTTCTCCACATCACCTCATCACTCTGTCTAAGGCCCAGATAAGACCTAGCCTCGAGTGTTGCTCACATGTTTTGGGTTATGCCGCCCCGATTACATTATCCGTGCTGTATGACGTATAATCCAATGACTTTCGGCCGTTATATCAACATCTTTGTAAGACTCCTGAATTTGTTACCACACTTCATGGTTGTCACTTGTTTAAATTTTCCCTAGCCCAAAAGGAAAACTTCTTATGATTTTCATTGCTCCCGACTGTACTTACAAAGATATCTTGTTTTTGTGTCAAGGTGGAACGGATTGGCGTGGAAGGTAACTATTTCCCCATTACTTCCATGGCATATATCGAAGACCAAAACGTAAGGCTTAGTTTGTTGACAAATCACGCACAAGGAGCTTCCAGTTGGCAGCCGGGATATCTTGAGGTTATGTTGGATAGAAGGACACTCTACGATGATGCTAGAGGTAAGACATTGCAACATTGCAAAACCAGTATAGTCGAAATCACGAAAGATAACGATATATAAATAATGAGTGAAATAACCTAATTTCGCAAAATCATAATATAAATTTGTTGTCGTTATGTTTCTGACTCGTGATTTTATCATCGACGTACGTTCACTGGATTACTTCAGTACAATTTATGGTATGACGTAAGTCAACTTTCGTGATTTTGACTCTATATAGCTTATTCACTGAAGCAAAGCAGTTACGTCGTATTTAGTGAATTTGAATGCCAACCTTAATGCAAAATAGATCCTACATTGGTACGTATAGTTTGAATTTCCCGGGTACAATTATGTTGGTAACAGTTTTCTGTGTTGTGACAGGTAATTACGCCAACGACTGTTGTTTATTTGTGGTTTATTTTCGTTCTTTTTTCCTCAATATTTGCACTGTTATTTTATAAAAAGTTTTTTCAAAACTTTGAGGTGTCCTTGTAAGCATTTTGCTGAAATGCCGAAACCTCTGGGTCGACAAGCGAAAGAATTCGTCATTTCTTTGACGAAATATTTTGAGATCGAACGAGATCATACAGCACCATTATTTCCTTTACAGTCCATAAGAGAGGTATTAGGTAGTAAATAGAATTTATACTAGCTCTAGCATTTACAAAACATACGCTCCGTAATGTTGGTTGCGGTAAGGCATCGAAGACCTAAAGTAGATTTTGTAAAACGTCCTAGGATATAGTAGTTTTAATTAATGCGGCAACCATGTGCGTCACGGTCATTATTTGGCGTAACTGCTTTGATTCAGTGAATGAACTATATCGTTCAAAATATTAAAATAAAAATCCTAGTTTAAAATGCCAAGGCACATCTCTAATTAATTCCTTCACTGTGCTCTCCCATTTTTGTCTTACTTCTGTTCTTCATTGCGTCTGTTATTGTCTAAGAACGACTTTTGACAACAACTGATATAAGATATCAAATCACATTTTTGAAATAGGAAAAAGAAACTAAAAAAAGTCATGTTGTGGTTCAATGTTTTTTTAGGAAATTGAAGTAATCCATTGTAGTGGAAGATTCACTGTCCTTTTATTCATATACTTAACAAAATAAAAATAATCAACTGTATCGTGTTATATGTGTCATCAATCAAAACATGTGTGTCCATGACATTCCTTTTTTTTTGAAAATAATTTGTTAGCTATCACTGTTGGTACGTGTTCCGTTTTGTATCCGGTGTCGCGGGCCCATTTTACTCATTTTTACTCATACATGTTTCAACTACTCATTGTTACTTGTTTTTTTGTGAAGCGTTCAATTTCTCTCATCATTTGATTAAGTTTGATTCACAGTCCAGTCCAATCGCCCCCATGATGCTCAGGTGTCCAAAGAAATCGAATAATCGATATTTATTTTCTCACTTTTCGAAGCTCGAGTCTGTGGAAACCCTAGAGCTCAAACTTCACAAAAGGTATAATGCCATCGTAAAAAAAGCTCTATAAGTTTGATGCTTTGCTATCAAAAATCTGATTTATATATAAATATTGTCGCACAGTTTTCATTTACTAAGGAGACGTGCGATTCAAAACGCAACTACGTGGTAACATGCAGTAGAGCTCCACCAACAAATTAACAAAATATGGCTCTTAGATATTAATTTTAAATAATTCAATACGTTTGTGATTCAATCAGTTCCTCATTCGTTCTTTCTGGATAAGAGTCAAATATTTTTTTGAAGTTTTAGGTTTCAGTCAGGTATTAATTTATTAAGAAAAATATTAAAACGAGAAATTATCTGCTCACCAAATTGTTGTCAGGCAAGTTAGGCCGCGGTGCCGTGAGAAGGTCTGTAGACGACCTTGAATTCTTAGGCAGCAAATAGTGTGTTAACGGTCGCCAAATACCGTTATCGAAAATTGGAATTCCAGAATGGACCACATTGAAACCACAACAACGGCCGACTTTGCAAATAAATAATATTTAAAAACTTCTCTACTTCAATAACAGGATAAAGGTGATTGTTTTTATGATTTTTTCTTTTCAAAAAGTGAATCGCTCATTAAATCTTAGTTAAAATGACTATCTGAATCTATCTAATCCCTAAATTTACTTAGGTATGGGTGAGGGCCTGGTAGATAACCGTCGCACAGTCAGCAAATACTTCCTCCTAATAGAAGACATCTCTCCAAGCAAACCCAACGCTGCCTGGCAAAATAAACGTTTCAATTCTATCGACGACACTTACGAAAAAGACGAAGTCGTACGCGCCTTCAACGTTCCCACCGAAAACCAACACGCCATCAAACAGGCTTTTTCACGTCCGTCACTCTACGCCAATCACATGTCAAACGTTCTCAACTACCCGACCAGCATCTTCATCGTGGACACCGATCATCAGATAAATATAAATCGATCTGTGAAACTGTTGAACAAACAGTTTCCATGCGATATGCATCTGTTGAATCTGCGCACCCAACCTGACGCTGTGTATTCTCAATTTCCTTCTTCCAGTGCTCTTATGGTTCTGCATAGGCAGGGTTACGACTGCGTGGTGCATTCAAATTACACCTGCAGTGTTGCCAAGTTTGATAAGAGTACGAACTTTGAATTGGTGACTGTTAGGGATATAGAGGTGAAATCGTTGACTGGCATAGATACTTTTGGGGCTTTACGGGGGTTAGGGGATGTTTATATTGAGCCGATGTCTTTGAAAACGTTCAATGTTACGTTTGGTTGAACAAAATGATAGTGAACTAGTAATATAGCTATCGTCCGTCCGACCACAGACGATTAACCAGGGTCAGGTGTTTCGTGCTTTTTAGCAACCTATCATCATGGTCTAGACTTGGTCTTAGGTAGGACTTCAAACGAAAACCGGGCAACTATCCTCTATCCAGGATATAAGGCCTATCGAAATAAGACAGAACAAAGTGCTATCTCTTACTAGAATCGACCACTGCGAGAGTAATACAACTGTCTGTTGAAATTGGCAAATTCGAATAGATTAGAAGGAGCCAAGCATATATGTTTACATTGCATTATTTGACGACAAAACTGCATTGTTTTAGTTTTTTACACCGAACCAGCCACGCAGGCAGAAGCCTTCATGCCAGGGCACCGCGGCTGCTATGAGGGCTTAAAGAAACTTTGTTGATCCGATTTTTGAACTGCCTCAACTTAGTAGTACTGAAAAAGGCTTGCTCACGGAGATTCTTCCACAATCTCGATACCCGAATGGCGGTCGTATCGGCCAGTTGTGGACGAAGTTCGACACGGTTAGAATGGGAGGCCAAAGTTCTGTCTGGTCTGTCTGGCAGGCACTTTGCGCGGCGCTTCATGGACAAGAGTTCTGAGGAGCAAAGCCTGTTTGCGTAGCTAGAGCCGGTGCGAAAGGGTCCCGAGACTGTAAAAGATAACACTAAAAATACGAATTTGATGACAGAAGTGTAAAAAAATTATGTCAAACCCACTTGTAGTATGCACTATCATCCTGACTAAAGTTTGAGATTTTGGAGTCAAACAAATCGTTGGCTTGATCTTCCTAGCTAGTCTGAATCCGTTAGTTGCAACTGTATCCCAGTTCGCATTTGACAACCTGGTCACCACTGTGGCCGCCAGATGCCGCCGATTCTGGTGATATAGGAGATAAGATCGACTCGCCATTGAACAAACTAGTAGTACAGCATGCAGCAGAAAGTTTATTCAATGGAGAGTATACTGTATCTACTAGAGCAGCTGAATCAGCGGACTTTGATACGGTTCTCACAGAGAGCTTGCTATTTAACTCTCTATTCTGGTAATTGATGGCACTTTGTGCTGTCTTATTTAGAATGATAATGATTTCCACCGTTGACTAACATATTCAATCAGAAATTACCCAACCTAATTGAAAGCTGTACTTGCGTGAAAGTAAACAGACGTACTGTGGCGCGGCCTCTTATGCGTACGACTAAAAACGTAATGATGACTGTCTGTAGGTGTCTGTGCTGTGATCTCTCGGACTGTTGCCCAGGTTGATAAACCTATTTTTCCGTCGTCAAGATATTCTGAGAAAATTAAATTTTAGAAATAATCAAGATGGAAGTAGATTAGTGATCTCCCTAGAGGATGATTTTCATGTTTAAGAATGAAATAAACTTCTAAGGGATTTACAAAGATCCAAATATAGTACGGGGTTGGTTCTTGTTGAATACGTTAATCAATGATCATAGGTAATTTTTGTTAGTTTATCGAACTAACAAAGTGCAAAATCTCCATATTTTGAGCAAAAAATTATAAGGATTTTTTGAACATATTATGGAGACCGAATTTCAACACCTGTTAAACAAGCGAGCACCCTCTAAACTAAACGGTTCAGTGTTGTCGATTGTTAAGTACTCCCATTATGACTCCTTTAGTTTTAGCTTTTATTGTTAGATATTATGCTTTGTGTTTTACAAATAAATGTGTGGTATTATTGTACATTTCGTATCAGACAGATTCCAGTAGTATATATTTATGCATTTATATATGTGAGTTTACTATAGAGGAGACAAGACTTCAGTAGATTTATCTGTTACTTCCATTCCACCTATCCATAAAAGATAGTCTGCCTTTGGTACTTTATACTTCCCACGCTGCTGGCGAGGGATTATTGCAATCGCGAAAAATTTCGTAAATGAGACATGTATAGGCAGCAGCGGTCTCTTGATCAGTCGCCGTGCGCTGTGCGGGTTCGAATCCCGTTCCAAGAGAAATTTTTCTCTTGGCTATGGATGTTGTGATTGTCCGTAGGTGGTAGACGGTCTCTGACTGTCGAATGCAGAGATACCACCTGGCGAATCTGGTAGGCGGGGCCAGAATGTGTGCATGTTGCATTCTCACGTGTTCCCCCCCTTACCCCTGTATCCCCCTATAGCATCACGGTACCCCATGGGTGTTTAAGCTTTAGGCCTTCGTGGTGGTTGGAGTATAAAAAAAATGTACATCACGAAAAACCATTTCACTCATTTTTCTTGTCCATCAGTCTGTCCGTTCGCTAATCCTTGGCCCACGAAAAACGTGGAAAGTACCGCTCGGATTTTGTTGAAATTTCCACTCAAGGTTATTACTTTGCCAAGGACGAAAAAGCATTGGTTTTTGAAAATCGGTTCAGTGGCGGCGGTGCTAGGAGCAAAAGACGAAAAAAATTGCTTAAACATCGTTTTTTGACGTTTCAAAGGTCCCTGAAGATTTCAAGAAGAATTTTTATAGGGGGTGGAAAGGGGGTTGAGTGTTATAGGGGGTTGTCGGGTAGGGGAGGTTATGACTCTATTTTCGGGCGTAAATATGTTAGTTCAGTTTACCCATGGAGCGTCCAGAAGATTTTCTCAGGGGGCGATGATCGGCAAAATACAACATTTTGTGAAAGTGTAGGGTGGGTAGCAAATATTCTCAGTGGGGACCACATCCTAAAAGATTCCAAAATGGTACAAAGAATCATGCTATTTAGCATGAAATAAAATAATCTTAATAAGGGAGGCTCCCCTGAGACATTATTATACATATTTCACATATCGTAGATTTTCCCTTACGTTTGCCTCAGTGTGGTGTGTCATGCGAGTTTTTCCGGGTCACCGATTTTTTTGTAGATCTAACGATTTCAGTTCTACGGAAATACCTATTTTAATGCGAAATCTGACGATAATTTTTTAAAACTCTGCGATAGTATATTTCTGATATACCATAATTCAACGAAACTCAGGAATAGTGCACCTTGCCACCCCGCTCCTCAACTTTGGATTTGGTGCACCCCTGCGCTCGAAATTTTCAATTACAGACACATTTTTGTTGTAATGTTTACCGAAATCTACCGTAAAATTTCGCACAAATCTACCGAAAATAGATCGACTATACCTAATTTCTACCATTATCGAATGGGTGGGGACACTGGGGACTATGGACGAATTGGTATGAGCCTCTTTGTCTGACTTGATCTATTTAATTTTTTTATTATAAATATTCGTCGCGAACATAATACTCTATGAACTGATGACAGCATTGATGATGACAACCTACTTGACGCCATTTTTTTAATCAGACATTACTACTCTCTCCTTCCGTCAATTCTGAATATTGCTCAGTATTTGTTTTTGAGACTGCAGGATGAATCTACTGGAACATCAGTTTTGTCTATAAACTCCCAGAGATCCTTTATACAGATTACGCAGTTTTTTTAACCTAGTATGATTTTAAAAAATGAATTGTGATATTTTCTAGTCTTAAGGAATTACAACACCGCATCAAACAATATTAAACTAATAACAGATATTTTTTGGCAACTCAGTGGTCCATTTATAGAAATGCATTTTGATTTTAACAGTTATTTCCATTCTTCAATATCTGCAAATATTTACAGAAAATTGATTATAGTTACCTAAAAAACGAATAATTATTGTGATGGTAAATTTCAATAAATGGACAATGTTGGTTGGATTTCAAAATCAAGGGAAATATATAGCTCTATTGGTTGAGATATCTAAGAAAATTGTAATCAAATCAGATTGAATATTTTTAACTTTTTCATTAGATATGTGAGTGCGTGAGTGAAGAAACATAGGTAGCTAAAACCTATTTATACCCTTTAATATTCAGATATACTACTGTATTTATTTTGTTTAAATACTTGCCACATAGTCTGGGCTATATCTTCGCATCTGATGGGACAAATATTCTAATTCGCATTGTTCGCATAATCTCATTCAAAATGGTCCCCTTTAACAAATCTACATATTGCCAGACCCAAATTTGCTTCAAGGGTGTTTAAACAAATTTCAAATATTATTTATTTTTGCTCTGGTCAGTGTTTTTTAGGTTTTTTAAGATAATCTGACCAAAAAACTGTCAACTAAGAAAGGTTCTCTATCACCTTTTTTTGTTCAGAATGTCGCAAAAACCCTAAACAATCTTTGACGAAAGTAAAAAGACAATTTTTGAAATATGTCTAAAACATTTTTGTCGAAAATTTGGGCCCGGCAACATCCAGATTCGTTGATATTATGAATTAATGAGATGTAAAAAATTCGATTCGGAGTATTTTCATATCAGATGCAAAAATTATCGCATGGAAGTAATCAGGAGACAAAACTTCTAAGGTTGTGTATTAAGATTTGATTTTTTGTTCAATTCTACTGTAGATAATTGTATATAAAAGCTTGTTCTGTTCGTCCAGGATATATATTATGTGTATGATTTTAATTCCCAATTCAAATAATTAATACAAAATTGTGTTGGAAGGTAATAAATAATATTAACGTAAATAAAAAGGAAGCATATACGCGCCATGCTTTGTAGATTTTTTATGTATAGTTCAATGTATAGTTAGAAGAATATGGCAATTTTATTGTGTAAAATTAAAGGAGTGACTGTTATATGAATCAAACGTGTCGGCACTTCTAGGGTTTCATATTTTATTTTTACAAAAATAAAATATTTTGATTTACGTCCATTTTTATCATAACCTCGACCATCGTCCTTGTAAGATTAAGCAGAAAATTTTTAAGAGTAAACAAGTAAGAATAAGGTTTGGTTTCACAATTTTTAGTTTGAGAAGTAATTATGTGAACATTCAACTAAAAGTACAAAAAACGTACTCCACGAATAGTTCGAAAAATTATCACAGATGTCGCTACCATAGCAGAATACATCTGCTGGCATCTATAGTGGAGCAGTCTAATTTCTCTTACATAGGGTGAAAATTCCTGTATTAGAGGTTTGATTACTCTGCGATAGGTGGCGCTACAACTGAGTTTGGAGCAGCATCTGTGTTTCAATGGTCTAACTACATACTGGTAAGAGGTAAAGTAATAGTGTTTAGCATTATTCCAATCTATCAAGATGGGTATAGATTAGGTGCTAACACTATTACAACAGACAAACTATATTTTTCGATAAAGCTTTTGTTTTGAAAGGTACGATCGAAAGTTCATCATGGATGTATATTGTATGACTTCAGAAACAGCCATTACGCGTTTGATGTGTCTAGCAACAAAAAGAAAACGAGTTACGTCACTGACACCTGTACCAAAGTAGTCTAACTTCTATCATGTGGGTAAGAAAGATTTCTGCCAATAATTTTGCAATGTTACAAGTTGCAATTTTTAGAATTTAGGGAATTTCGAATGGCGATTTGGCTACACTGGCCGAACAAATATTTTTACTCATTTTTGTCTAATTTTAAAGTAATATTGAAGACTTGTTTATGATAAACCAATTATTCATATATTTTGCTTAATTCTCAGTTAAAAACTGACGAAAAAAGAGTAGTTTCAAACAACATTATATAAACATAACCTTACTTCGGAGTCTATGGACTGGCCCAAGGTGAAAGTCATAATAAATAAAAACGGAAAATTTAAATTACCTAGATAACACATAAAGCGGTAGTATGTTGTGCTACATTACGAGCAACCGCTTTACATCAGTTCACTAACGAAGCTGGTGTAAGTTACTTCTCTGATAAGGGTCTCCTGAACAGAAAACAGGAGCATAGACAGCCAGAGGATGGCTCAGAAAAGTTCTAGCAAGTCTAGCAAAAAGGCTGAACCTTCTGCACTTGCAAATCTTTATTTGATTGCATATAATGTGATACAGGCGTTTGGGTAAGTTGTACATCTTATTTTCATGGTTGAATTTTAAACCTTTTTTCATACCAGATCTAGACTAGGCCCTTCCACTATCTAAAGAGATCTGATCACGCTTGAACAAGGCTTAAAGAGGCGCCTGATCATTTAGATTACTAATTTTATACTTTTGAGTTACTTTGGGCTTTATCGATAGTTACTTATTAACTTAGATTTTTCCAAAAAATATAAAGTGGGGTCCAAAAATAAGGGTTCACTAACTTGCCTATAGCATAATTATTCATTCTTCAAGCAGACTTACATAAATTATTATTCAGTTATATTTATCCTATTAAAGTTTTCTTGTTATCCTTGAGAATACTAGAAATTTGGGAATTAATAAGCTTAGTTATGCATATTAATGATGGTGACTTTTGAACTTGTATGTAATAGTTGCTTTTCATTATATACAAGGTTGGATTCTTTACATATATAATATTACCTATTTTCCGATTTATTATATTTGGGGACTTCCTAAACACTAAAAATTAGTAGGATGAATTGACTAGAAAGATGAGTTTTCTTGCTCAAGGCCTAGGACTTTTCATCTTATATTCGGAGCTTTCCCAATATTTGAAACTTTTTTCAAGTGTAGTTTACAATAGACATAATAAAAATCATTGTATAACATTCTGCCAGCTGATCCTATTATCACAAAAACATTGTAATAAATGAATGAAAAGTGCATAAAATTCATCTTAACAGTGGATTATAAAATTGCAATCATTGAAAAAATAGAATTTATATCTTAAAAACAATATGTCTGTATACAGTGTCTTAAGCCATTAACTTAAATGTTATGTTTTGTGAAATTTTTGTATACTTATTTAAGATGAAAATCTACTTTAGTTTTAGATCAAGCTGGGTGCTTTGAATCTAATGCATCTCACTACAATATTATTTGTATAATATTTATGGTACTTTTGATGTCATTAAAACATCCTGATATAAAAGTGTATACATAATAAAAGTTTTATGATCTTGATTTTACTAACATATTATTTTTTCCCTTAGGTGGTCCTATCTACTATATCAGTTGATCACGTATTACCTAGGTCCATCAACAAAAAGTCTGTATGAGACAGTTAAGTGGTCAGTGATTATTTTTCAAAATGCTGCTGTGCTTGAAGTAGTCCATGCCTTCACAGGTCTGGTGCGATCAAACCCTATCATAACTGCTGCCCAGATTGCATCCAGGGTTGTTGTTGTATGTGGAGTATTGATGGTAACACAAGCAGCTAGGTAATTTTTTTCATTCACAACTAAGGCATGTGTCACACTGGAGAAACAAATCCATGAAACTTGCTCCATCATGTTTTTATAAGAGACTTTATGCCATGTTTTCAGCTAAAGACATGGTCAAAAGTTGAAAGATGTCATTAATCCTGATGTGTGGCAAACATATTAATCGTTGATTGCATTATTTATTAGTTATTTTGTGCTTAGATATCTTGTTTTTTGTGAATGTTGCAACTGTTTTATTGGATTAGGATGAACTATGTGGCTCTCATTGAACACATAGTTAATTGTTTTTTTTTTCAGAGATACAGTTGGCATGCCTATGGCACTACTGGCATGGTCTGTTGCAGAAATAATTAGGTATTCAACATATGCCTTTACTTTGCTAGGAGGAGTGCCATATTTTTTGAAATGGCTGAGGTATGCTTATTATAAGTGGAAGTTTTTCACTGTTTTTATTAATTAGAAACTGTACCAATACTGTAGGGTAACATTTTCACTTTTGGTAAGAAGCTTGAAAAACTATAAACTCATGAAATTAATAATACTGAGTTCAAATATGACCATCAAAAAAATCGTGAAATGTCGTTGAATCCAATGTGACCCACAAAATGGCTTGCTTGAGACCAACTATCCTGTCCAAATCACAAAAATGCAGAAGTTTTTGAAATTGTTCCATGGGTAGCCTTCAAATATTGTTATATTCTTTATTTTCTAGGTACTCTACTTTCATAGTCTTGTATCCCATTGGAGTAACAGGAGAGCAACTGTGCATGTATGCAGCTCAAAAGGAGGTTGGAGAGAAGCAATTGTTTTCATATTCACTACCAAACAGTTTAAACTTCATCTTCAGTTATCAATACTTCCTCATACTGGTCATGCTGACATATATTCCATGTGAGTATTGAAGATTCCCTATTTTCAAAGCTCATAGGAAAAAGAAAGACATTTATTTTTGCAAAAAAATATTGATACAATACTCACTCAAACTCCATGTCTTTTCAATTTTGTGGGGCATCTGTAGCAATAGATAGTCTAGCCAAAAATTAAGGTTGAACACACAGTAAAAGAACTTGTTTATGATGAAATCGTAATATTATCTCATTTATACTTATACTTATTTACTCTGCATTTCGTATTGATAGAATTTTTCTTTGCAGTTTTCCCACAGCTGTATCTCCACATGTTCTCTCAAAGAAGGAAAGCATTAGGTGATGGCAAGAAAGAGAAATAAAAGGTTGTTTTATATAGTTGTTTTTTACACGTTTGTTGTTTTTAATACATTTTAAGATTTCGTCTTGCCTTTTATTTCAACACAACCAGAAAATGTGCTGCAGAGTATCCTTTCCCAAACTTCGATGTGTTTCTGCCATCCTGGTAGGAAAACATAACTCTTGCATATTGAGTTCACGGAAGAAATAATGGAAATTTTCAGGCACTAAAAATTCTGTATTCGGATAACAGAAACGGCGAGCTGAATTTACCCGGGTAATTTAATTTTCCCGCCAACTTTAAATCAGGAGCACAAAAATCTCCATACCGTCTTATGTTTCTGTGATCCTGGTATAAAAGTTTAACTTGACTATTGAAGATTTTGACGGAAGAAACATTGTGAAATGTGTTATTATCAGGATAACAGAAACTGCGAGAGGTATTTGCCCTAGCACATTTCTCACCAATTTTGTATCAGGAGCAGACAATTTCCATACCTCCTCGCGTGTCTGTGATCCTGTTAGCAAATTTAAACCCATACATTTTGACGATTTGACAGAAGAATTCTTATTACAAGTGCAATTTTCAGACAAAAAATTCGGTATTGGGATAACAGCGACTTTATTTTTCCGGCAATTTGGTAACAAGAGCCGACTAGCTTTTTGTATACCTCCTGGGATTTATGTGATCCTAATATGTGATATACCAATCAAACATGTCGACACTTCCAAGGTCTCCTTTTCTATTTTTACAAAAAGAAAATACGCCACTGTACCTGTAGTTCAAGAAACTGCCACATACGCCGCAACGTTAAAAGTGGTTAAATTTCGTTTAAAATTTTTCTGCAGGCATTTTAGTAACTTTCGCGTCCAACAGATGTCAGCAATTCATGTTTGAAGGTCATTCGATAGATGGTGCCACCATTTGCGGTGGATCTATTGTAAGTGTTAACTTACAGGTCAATTAGGTAGTTGAAAAAAAAAATTCAACACAAAAGATAAATGGTACTTGCTTGTTTATTATGGTGTTTGTTACAGAAAATGCGCACTTTACAAATGATAATGTTAGAAATCCACATTACAGACACATATCTAGTATCTAATTGTCAACAAATACAGATTTGTGAAGCAAGTACTATGAAAAAAATGGTAGATTTTTGTTTCTGTATATTAAACCTGATAATTTGTACATTCAGCTAAAATCGAAAATATAATTTTTATTTTTACATCTATCAATGAAGCTTCCAGGGTTATTAGATCTCAATAAATGAGTCAATTTGAGCTCTAATACAAACATACAATGGTACATACTTTTTCTTTGAAGGCAAGGTAAAATATATGTATATATCATGTGAGAGGCACTAAATAAAATATTATTCTACATCACATAACTTCTTTATCAAAGCACATAGCAACACAAATATTTGACTCTTGGTCTCTCAGTATTTTGATAAAGAAGCTATACAAGCTGCTAACTTTACGTTAGTATTTTATTTATCTAAAAAATTAAATATACCAAGTTCACTGATTTACTTTGAAAGAAATCCCAATGTGAAAAACTAGAAAGTTGAGTGCATCCAAGGAACTGAAGCCTAAGCCATGTCAGATAACGTAGATCTTTACTTCCTTGCAAATCATCAACATGTGTATAGAGTTTATGAAACATTACGTTGTAATATTATCAGGAACATTCATAGCCGTGAGTTCATTATATACCACATATTCTTGATTCCATATCTTTTACCAATGTACAGCTCTGGTCAAAATGATTTCCATGTATACTCGAGAAAGAAGCGTGTTAGAATAAGAGCGTCATATAAGCGTCGTCACCACGTTGCCTGGCAACGACAGTGTGGGAGGATGCGGATCATGGCTTTTACTCCTCCGTGATCCGCATCCTCCCACACTGTCGTTGCCAGACAACGCTTATATGGCGCACTCTTTCTAACACGCTTGTTTCTCGAGTACACATGTAAATCTTAAAGTGAAAACGACTTTGGCCTATACTTATTCTTTTATAAGTGTGTTCCGACGTAAAACTGAAGCCGATATTTTAAAGGAAAAAATAGATATTGTGAATTTCAAAATTACTATGAAAAAATGTATTTATTGGTCAGAGGAAATGTTGAAACTGGATAAATTTAGTATTGCTAAAAAATGTTGGATATAATAGACTCAGGACCTTATTTGAAAGCTATATGCAAATACTATCAAAGCAATGGCTATTTTACATATTAACTGTTCTTGTTTACTAAAGGTGACGATTTTGTATGAAAACTCTTTTAAATGTTTAACTCATGATAGATACAATTTTGGTGGCAAGCATGTTTCACATATGGGTTAGCCTGGAAATATACTGTTACGACTATATTTCAAATGTTTCACTACGTTATTTTTGTTAATAAGACACTTTTACTGCAAGTTGGGAAACAGTGCAATTCCATGCAACCACCGATTTTGTAAAAATAAAAATTGCAATGAACTAGTAAATAAAATCTTAACACTAAATGCCTGAAAAGAGATGAACAAACATATACATAGCACCAATCTGTTAATATAAGAATGAATTCAACGTCAGGGTATATTACATAGTGCTTTTTCGGAATTTTGTATTTTTTGATGGTGATTTTATTGTTTTTTTTATGATTTTTTTCTATTGGCAAAGCCAGTAGCGATGTTTTTCAAGATAATTTCATGATGTTAGCCATTAACAGGCAATTTAATGGTAAAAAACACAGTTCTAAAACTAAGAGCATTTTTTATATTTTTTTCTTTTTGTTTGTGATTAGACAATTTTATTACATTCTTAGTTGCTAGAGAATCATCTTAGCCTACTATACAAACTGCAATTCTTCAACTTTCTTGGAGAGAAAGATGAAAAATGTTGTCAGTACTCTCATATAAACAAACGTAATTTCTTTTTTCAAAAATTTTTATTATTGGATGTGAGATCACAGATATCGTGATGAAAAACTAGTTCAATCCATGAGATTATTTTATTGCATCCAAACTGCTGAGGAAATGAGTGCTTTTTTCAACATTATAAAAAAAATTATATTTCCCTGAAGAAAATTTTGCATTTACAAATATGTTTATGGACTAGAATCAAAAACCAAATAGAAAAAGTAGTTAGATTACACTCGGAAAATATCCGACATATATATATATATATATTAATAATCATTGATAACATTATAGATGTCGATAATGCTAGAATCACAGCCACATCATGTGACAACAGATTTATTGGTAACTTTTTTGCACCTCATTTCCAAAGCATGTGTAATATGAATTGAAAATATATTTAGAGGTAACCAGAAAGTCGATTCAAAAAGATAGTTTTTCAAAAAAGAAATCACTCCTCCCACTAAAACACATGTCCTATTTAGGAAACTGATTATGGCTAAAAACAAGACGTAAAATTGAACTAATGAAATATGTTTTTACTAAAAACGTGCCCTATCAGTTTTCTAAACGTTTCACCATTCTCTAACACTACAAAACTAAATGATAAGCCAGTACCGTCAGTACTGTTGCCATTAAAGTTAAGGAAGTATAATGGTATACAGCTAAATGAGAGGTGGCGATTTTTTTCATCTTTTTTATTATTTCAGCCACTTCGTTATGAAAACTCTCTTTTTATAAACACGCAAAATGATGTTCGTTTGCTTTATGGAGCTTGATAATGCCCATAACACCAAATCTGATTTTGGTAATACACAAAACACGACTGTAAAAACGTATATAAGGTTTCTAAAGATCTGCCATGCAATCTGAACTTTTTTACAGTGTGTTTTCTTGTTTGTTTACATAAATGTTATTATATAAGCGGCAGATCTTTTTGGGTAACATTGAACAATATATAAACTAAGCCGAAAACATAAAAATTTTACACACCGATAACCGACGTTTTTTTTCTATCAGTTAAAAATCTCAAAACAAAATTTAAACAACAAAACAACAACAAGAAAAGAAATAAGAAAATATTCGGTGTGCCACTATATCATCTTTTCGAAAATCCATAAAGAAAAAACACCAAAAGTTATTTTTTGTATATACATTAGCCGAGTCGATCCAGATGAAATTGTATAAGAAATAATGCATTGCGGCATCACAGAAATATTTCCAAATTTGTATTTCAAAAATATTTCGATGTAATACCACACTGCAGAGTACCATATAAAAAACGGACTCGCTAGATTCTTTCATCATTTTCAACTCACTTGGACAGACTAGATGAAAAAGTTTACACATATATACGCTATACAATCAATTATGTGAAATCACATATTTCATATCTTTGATGTAGATATAAAATGTTTCAATATTGATGGTAAACAAACTAATATATTTCTGCAACTTCATCCCTGCTCTCAACAGTTTTTTTTACACCGAATTTCAGATGTTTTTATTTCTGATAAATCAACTTAGTCATTTCATGATATGCTTCGCTCTATTTTCAAATAAAATCGAACTTTCTAAAGATATTCAGCATTCATTTTCCTCACTATAATTGTGGATCAAGATGTTGAATCTTTCAACATAACTTCACCGATCAGCCAAGTGCGATGACAATGATCAAAGTAATTGAACTTTGGAAAAACACTATTCAACAATATTTTTTTCATCTTCCATCGTTAAATCATTGGAAATCTTAATTCTTTTTTTTCGGGTAAGACGCACCCGTAAGTTTCTTATACCATCTCCTCTGGTTCGACTTCATATTTGACAAGGTCCTATACATCTATGCATATTCAACAAAACAAAAGTCCTACCTTAGTTGATATCAGTATTTCGTCTTAGCACTTTGTCAACAACTGATAATCCAAAAAACAGCCCAAAGACGGTAATACAAAAACTGCTTAGATCAATATGACGGACAGGATTCCATTATTTTTTAATAAAAAATCCACATGAATGAATTTTGATTAAATAGAGATAAGCATATTGTCTCTGATTACTTGAATTACACAAAAATAATTATTCATGCTCACAAAATTACGAGTTTGGTCTATCTTTATTAGATAGGTCTTCAAAAATTATATTGACCGACGGTGATAATTTCATCAAAATTAGATCCCACAAACAGATGGGAAAGTGTGATATGGTCTTATTTTTTTCGAGAAGCAAAGAAGTAATATCACGAATTGATTTTTTTACAATTACGATGCCTCTCATACTGGCGTACAATGAGAGTTAAAAAATGATATTGCAGTAGTACGTTACAAAGTGGGAAAGGTACAGGCATGTATGTCAAGACTTATGCCAAAGTAGTCCTATGATTACCTACTACGCTCTATCTCTTGTATAAGCTCACTATAATGTACGAAAAACTGATCTTTACGAATCTTTTCAAACGTTATTGTACTTGATTGTACTCTTTATACGATCTGACATTCAACACTCGTACGACTTATCGGACCGTCCCTGGGCCATTAGAATGGACACATTTGTTTACTAGTGGCTCAAGTCTCGCTGATCTCGTCATACAACAACAAAATATAGATAGAACCAAGGACCATATCATCTTATATATCTTATCATATAATTATGATAACTATATGTAAATAGAACTTAAGGATTTCCTAGCTGGAACGCCCTGTGGAAATAATAAATTAAAAGCTACGATAAGACAGATCAGTAACCGATTAGGGGTTGAAATTGTGATCGCTAGCTAAAAAACGCAGAGCGGTCCACCCCCTAAAAGTATTAAATCCTGCACTGAAACTAATATGGCAGGTGTCATGTGTTGCGCCATCCCTTTTGCGTAGGGTTGGTCGCTAGTGATCTGTCTTTCGAATCGTTTATTTAAGCCAATATAAAGTGTACCAGTAAGGGGTTCAGAGGGTAACTGAACGCAGACTGGGCAAAACGGACAGCTGAATTAGACAGTCCTCTTCCAAACGGGACGTGAAACTCCGTAAGCCTACATTGAAAAAATGAATTGTTAAATCCCATAGAGTAGTAGTAATAGCCAAGCTTATATAGCAATTAGCTATGAAACTCTCCGGACAGTATCAAAAATGGCCGTCATTCCGTCGGAGAAAATCGCATGTGAATTCTTCTAGTACAACGAATGAAAGAGGTTTTAGAGGTCAGCAGCAGCCGGTGTTGCCACGTATCCTGCTGGCATCCGCAAATCTTATTTGTAATCGTAAAAATTATAATATTCTAGTGTAGTTTGTGTGAACAAAGTATTGATGACTATATAATTATAAAAAAACTTTAAAATAAATTTGCATTGGTGGACATATTCACAATAAACAGATAAATATTTACTTTTGCCATGCATTCTTTGCTGCTGCGATATTCTCAATCCATTGTATTTTCAGTGTAAATTCTGTTAAACACCACACCAACACAACATTCACTGAATTACTGAAGATACTTCCGTGTCTTTGTTGCGGAAAAAAAACGAGAGCAAACCACCAGCAAAGTGACAACCAACGCAATCAAACCTGACATTTCTAACGACTCCTTAGCTGCTATCCAGTGGTTTTGATTTGAGGGTGATGCGCTCCTGAACTGCTCCAGGAACAATGTATGATAGTACAACGTCCAGTGGAACAGTATTGTACTCCAAGTTACTCAGAGTAACGCAACAGGGCCACTGGAAAGCAGCTTAGGATGTTTATAATTCTTCATAATTACATGACATGCATATACATTATTTAAAAGAAATATCGTTATCTTATTATTCGCTCATTCTAAACTAAAACTATACATACAACATAAATCACAGCAGTCAACAAGAGAGAATTTGTTTAGAATCAGAGAAGAATAACAAATATTCGTGCAAAATTGTTTAGTTTTGCTGATGAACAATGTTTCTTATATGTCTCATCTAAATATTCATGTGTGCTCAGAATAAATACTGAGGATCTATTCTTTCTTACCAAACAGTGGCGGATTAACAAGAGTAGCAGATGTTATGGGCCCCAAGCACCAACGCTTTGTGATCGTAAAAAAGTATCTCGATTGGGGAGTGATCACACTGAGCCCCTTGATATAATTTTCTACGAACCCCGCCTTGGCTCAGTCCAGCACTGTTAGCAAAATATCATTATTTCGAAGCAGTGTTATTGCTGTAAAATATAAAGCACGACACAGGATGTTTCTACATAAACATATGAAACAGACACAGGTCAAAATCCTACAAAAAAGTGTAATTGCAATACTTGGTTTGGTTATCGTTATCAGAAGTATCAGGTTAGACTTTGTTGGTTGTTAGTTTGCTCTCGTTTTTTCAGCAAAAAATTCTGTGATTGAGTGAAGGTTATATTTGTCTGGTGTTTTTAACACTGTTTATATAGGAAATTCAATGGTTTGCTGATACCGCAGCAGCATAGAATAGAAAAAGTAAATATTTTTCCGTTTATTGTAAATACTTCTATAACAAATTTATTTTGAAGCTTTTTCATAAATAAATACTAATCAATACTTCGTCTCTTCTTTTTGGACAAGCATACTACTCTTTATTATTGACTCACACAAACTAAACTAATCATATCGAAATATCTTTTTACGATTGAAAAGAATATTTGCGCGGCAACATCGGCTGCTGCTGAACACTACAACCATTTTCATCTAGTTCTAGGGGAATTTACATGCGATTTTCTCCGCCGTAATGGCGGGCATTTTTGACACTGACGGGAGGGTTTCGTAGCTGATTGCTATCTAAGCTGTTGTAATAGTTAGTATATACCTTATCGAAGGTCACTATTTATATTTTGAGCCTAATAATACAAAAAACTAATTTGTCATTGAAAATCACTTTACTAATTTTTAAAATATTCTCCATTATGATCTATACACTTTTTCAAGAATTCGAACCATTTTTCAAGACACATACTCCACTCCGCTTGAGATATCATGTTCTATGAACGCATCAAACAGCATCTGGCGACAAAAATCGTTGTCCACGAAATATATTCTTGACGTACGGGAACAAAAAGAAGTCATTGAGTGTATGGAGATGACCTATTAAATCAATATTTTGAGTGCTCAAATACTCAATTGTTTCACGAGAGACGTAAGAGCACGCATTGTCTGGAATGATCCTAGGAAGCTTGATGGTTTTCCTTATTTCACCGAAGACTTTCGGCAAACAAATGGTTGTGTACTATTCAGAGTTAACCGTTCTACATTCACCCATTGCCACATGACCAGTTTTTCCGCAAAAAAAAATACCCATACAGTCGATTGGTGTTTCCTTTCCGGCTCATACGCATAGATCCACGATTCTTCACCTGTTACAATTTTATACACGAAGCATAGCCGTATATTTTGAGCATCTGTTTGCACCAGTCGACAAGAGCCTCTTTTTGAGCTTTCGTTAAATTATGTGGGATCCAACGAGAACAAATCTTTTTCACAGCTAGCGAAACTAATGCCCGAGGTTGCCTCATTCTCACAGTATGTTGCATGACGATCTTGCTCTATTAGTTTTTCCACAGCATCAATGTTCTTTGACACAACAACTGATTTTTGACGACTTTCCTCACCAAGAGAATAGCGACCACGATTAAATTCGTTGTGCCTGCGTGTCAAACTGGCAAAGGATTGGGCTTCATCGCAAAAAGTCGAAGTTGATCAATGCACTCCTGCCTTGATAATCCACGTCGAAAGTCGTAATAAATCATCGCACGAAAATGTTCACGAGTTAATACAATTCAATGAGTCACAGTTTTCAAATTGTCATCAACAACACAAATCGTGATGAAATAAGGTTATGTTAGAAAAACGACAAACATTTAATTGTAAATGTCAGAGTAGCCTAAGCATTCTCGTACACTTAGTGTTGCTTAGGCTCAAAATATAAAGTGACACTCTGTCTATATTATAGAACTTTTTATACGTGGTGGTCATTTATAAATACTCCCAAAGAATAATCATGTGAATGATAGTGGCTAAAGAAAGTTATCTTTTTGATCTAGCTTTTTTGAAAGTCCTTTTTATTAATCATAGCTTTGTGGCAGTCTTCAGAATTTATTAGTTTTCTTTGAGATTTAACCTAGACATTTTCAATACGAAATAAAATAGGTTAATGTAAAGGGCTATTTTTTCAGTGCAATAATATCCAAATTGTTTTAAAATTTTACAATAAAAATATGAAAAATATCCCTTTGCATGAAAACCTCCATATTCATATGTTCAAATTTCTGTTTTATATCTGAAAAAAACATACAACTTGTGGCAAAAGTACAGGAACGGTTCGATAGCTCTGGGAATACATTTTAGGGCAAAAGCTTCAAATAACAGTTGTAAGATTTTCCCTCAACTATCGGTCGGCGACCTTGGTTTGACCCTCAAAGGTTATTTGAATGACCTCCCGGGCAATCAAGGCAAGGATGATAGTCACGGTCAACTAAGGCAAGGTTAAGGCCATATAGTGGCAGATTGGGTGAAACCTTAGTATCAAATCCTTCTCCCGCCTAATTTTGATAGTTTGACCACCAGCCATACAAGCACCGCCTAGCGGCAGCAACATTGGATATACAGTAATGGACAAAAGTATATAGACAAATATGAATATTTAACTAAATACCTTTAGAAAACGAATTCATACTTTATTGCTCCATAAACAAATGCGTTATTAGTAGAAAAACTAAATTCCTTGGTTTTACATTATCTGCAATGAACACATTTCAACTCTGAATATAAGCACTTTTTTATGAGGGACAAAAATATGTAGACAAATTCTTTCCAACATTAGTTTACTACAGTTTCGTGTCAGAAGAGGATTCGTTTGTGTTCATCAAGTATTGTGGAATAAGTTGAGTGATTTTAAGACCATGCCGCGTGGTCCAGAAATTTCTTTCGATGTGAAAACTAAGATCATTGAGTTATACAAAGATGGTCAACATCAAGTCGACATTGCCAAAAATTTGAAGCTGAAGCGTAAATCAGTTTGGGCAATATTGAACAAATATAAACAAAAAGGTATCTTGGAAGCCTCTAAGAGAAGTGGTCGGCCTAGAAAACTAAATGCTAGATCAGTTAGATTAATAAAAGTAATTTCGTCCAAAGATCCGTTTAAAACACCAAGACAAATAAAAGCCGAAATCGAGACAAAAGGAATTGTCAGTGTTTGTACGAAAACTATAAGTAGAAGATTAAATGATTTGAAGTTATTTGCACGTCGCCCGAGTAAGAAGCCGCTAATCTCGAGGAAAAACCGTAAGGACCGATTACAATTTGCACGGTTGCATCTTGATTGGAGCATCTGTGAGTGGAAGAGGGTATGTTTCAGTGACGAATCCAAGTTCAATCTGTTTGGATCAGATGGTGTTCATTACGTTAGACGTCCTGGTGGACAAAGATTAAACCCCAAGTACACTTTGCCCGCTGTTAAACATGGAGGCGGGTCTGATATGGTTTGGGGTGCTTTTCGGGGTTTGGGATGGGACCTTACAAAGGATAGATGGCATTATGGATAAGTTTGTATACACAGACATACTAAAGCATGTCATGTTATCCTATATGGAAGACAATATGTTCTTAAGATCAATCTTCCAGCAAGATAATGGCCAGAAACACACTTCAAATCTCGCAAAGAAATTCTTTCTGGATGAAAAAATGCCAGTTCTTAAATGGCCTTCACAGTCTCCCGATATGAACCCCGTTGAAAATCTATGGGAACACTTAGATAAGCAAATACGAGATAAAAATTATTCAAACAATGATGAACTTTTTGCCGCTTTAGAGCAAAAGTGGAGACAAATTGATGAATCTTATATCAAGGAATCTCTACAATCTATACCGAGACGATGCCAGGCGGTGATTGATAATAATGGTTATGCTACAAAATATTAACTCAAACATGGTTGGTTTTCTATAATTCAATGAACTTTGCTTCTTTTTTCTATAATTGTTTTGCTTTGTCTATATATGTTTGTCCTTCATAGTTCCAGTTTTTTTCAATTAATTTTTTATTGAAGGGAGTCTAATGAATTTATTTATGTATAAAGTGAGTATTATGCCATAACGAATTATGTATACAGGTTGGTGTATTAATAGAACAAGTTAAAAAAGAAATACAGCACAATATTAATTTGTCTATATACTTTTGTCCATTACTGTATGTAGCTGACCTTACAATGAAAAGTTTAATAAATTCTCACCTCCTGAATTCCCGAATCCGTACCCTCCTGGAAACGCCCCGCCAAAGCCATAACCATTTTGTATCTTTCTTTCATTTTTTGCCAGCTTATTCTCCACAGCCCGTGGCATTCCCTCCATGTAAGCTCTCTGCATATGGCGAAGATCGGATAGCAATTCTTCTCCGTCTTGGCTGATATCTTCGCGCAGCAGTCTGTTTGGTGATAACGGTGGAGTTTCCGATGGTTTGTTTGTGTTTGATGTGTCCGCGTTCGTGTCTTTCTGTTTGCTCAAGCAATTCTGACATATCTGAAAATAGGCGGAAATTATTTTTATAAGGTTATAAGCTGGCAAGTTACAGCGGCATTAATCAAAAGCTGTACGCCTACAAGTCAGTTTTAATGGAACATGACAAGCAGCGATTGTGTAAATGTTTGCAAAAAGTGTTAACATCAATGTAAGATGTACAACCAAGGTCTAAGCTCCCGTAGGTAAAGGAGTCTAGCGAGGGGCGATGTGTGACCATGTGACATGTATGCATTCTGGTCCCGCTCTAGAGAACCGCCAGCTGGTACCTCCGCGTACGATGGTTTGAGACCGAGCCAGAGAAAAAATCTCTTATGCGTGACGCCGCCTAGCAGAGTGCGTGAGTATATCTGTGTAAAAATATAATACAAAAAACTTTTTTATCGCTGCTGCTTTCTATAGTATAAATTTCTTCAGCATTAATTTTAACTTATTTTGTTGTCTGATGTCTTATATGTCCCTACTGTTTTTAACGTGTTTTAATTTCAAGATTTGGTATCAGATGCAAGATTTATCTTTGTCTTGAGCAACTACATTTGTATCTTATCACCAGCATGTGTATTTGGATTTGAGGTTTTTCGAATATGAATGATTCGATGCTAAAATAGAATAAGTTCTATATAAGGTATTACAAATTTTTTTTAAAGGCTCATGTGTGGAATATGACATGGATCAACTGCCCGCCGCAGTTCCGTAAGATGTCAAATTTTTAATTACATTGCCATTTAGACCTGGTGGAATATGAACGATGGTTGTGTTCACAAAATGTTTGGCGTACGTATTGGTCCGAAGGTATCACCAGTAAATATTTTTTTGGTAACATTGCTAGTAACATTTCAATGCTAATCAATTTCGTTTTGCCCGAAGAATTTCCTTAATACTCCACATTTACGTTTTATACTATTTTTACATCACCTGCATTGACTTAACAATTCGTGTATACTCTCGATTGGGCGTTATTAAAAGGAATTAGTCTTTTTGCAAATATCTGGTTTTCTTTACGTCAAATGTAATTTTAACCCATTAGAGAAGTTGTAAAGCATAAAATTCTCCAAAAATTGTATATTAGAGAATATTTCATGCAATGAGCGGTTTCCACGATAGACCGAAAATAACACTGATAAAAACAGGATTTGTGTCATGACAATTTTTGGGTGTATCTTATGTATTTTGAGACTCTTAAATCAAATCTAAAAACAGAATTTTTCTATCACCCATAGATATTCGGTAATATCTACTTTTAAGAATTACAATACGTAACATCTCATATTGCTGCATTTCTCGGCGTTTATGCGATGACTCACATACAGGTATATAATGTTAAAAGCTGTCTATTCCTGTTTATTATATGCGAGCTCTATGTTTAGAGAGCATATTGCGTTTATTAGTAGACCAATAGTAGCCGAGTCAGTTACGTTTTCTGCGTTGAAGAGTACTGAGATGTTCTGAGCACTATTTTTGTTAAAACGGTGTGTTGCTTTTAGTTTATTGTGATGGAGACTAGTTTATGGGGAATGCCTAGAAATTGTGTCAATCGTGCGAACAGTTTTTGTTGTGTGTGGAGAGCTAACTTTTAAATCCCAAAAACGTAATTTTACTCCCCTTGTGTTGAAAGCATACTCTAGCGTTTTGGGTTCTTTTGGGTGTGGATTAAACACTGGATTCCACAAAAAAAATGCACTAATATATTTAACTTGATAGAACATTTATATACACCACTATTTATGTCTGACTAATTCTTATGTCGCCATTGACTGCACTATACTCCGCTACGATCTGCTCTGGTGTAATCTGTACTCTCTGCTTCCATCTCCCGGCCGACGAGTTATATACAGTCCCAATTGCTGCTTCGAGAAAGGCCGGGTGAAGGACAAAGCGACATCTAGAATATTTGCGGTCGTGGTTCGCGTAAAAGCAGAGATCGGCCATTAGGCTCTGGCGAGTAGGAGACTCGCCCAACAGATGGCGCCAACAGAACTATTTGTCACAATACGAACTTTATTTTGGAATTAAAGTTGGCAACCAAGATAAACTATGGGCCCCTCATATATGTTGTAAGACTTGTGTAACGTTGTTAACAGGTTGGTTAAGAGGCGACAATCATAAAATGCCCTTTGCGGTACCAATGGTTTGGAGAGAACCAAGAGACCATACTAGTGATTGCTATCTTTGCCTCACAAATATTAAAGGTATTGGACCAAAATCGAAACATTCTGTTAGTATTTTAATTTATCATCAGCTTTGCGTACCGTTGAGCATAGTGATGAACTTTCTATCCCAGTTCCACCAGAATCTTGGTCTTTGGATGAACAAGTCGAATCTACCGATTCTGAAAGTGATGGTACAGAAAGCGTAAACATTTCCGATCCTTCGTTTGACCTGCCAGGATGTTCAACAGCGCCGCATTTGATCACACAGGGCAAACTTAATGACTTTTTACTTTTTAGCGTCAAGATTCAACTGATAGAACCTTCTCCACGGTGATGTTAACATTACTTTTTACCGAAAACGGCAACAAGACCTCACACACTGTTTCCGTCAAGAAAGGGAGTTGATATATTGCTCCAATGTCAACTATTTGTTTGACGCGTTAGGACAGAAGCATGATCCAAATGACTGGCGCCTGTTCATTGATTCCTCTAAGCTTAGTTTAAAAGCGGTATTGGTACACAACGGTAATAAATATCCATCTGTACCCATAGCGCACGCAGTTCATCTGAAGGAATCATATGAAAATATGCGAGTTCTGTTAGAGCATATCCGTTACAATGAATATGGATGTGTCATATGTGCAGATTTAAAGGTAATAGCCCTTCTTCTTGGAATGGAACTGGGATGTATCAAATATTGTTGTTTTCTTTGTGAATGGGACAGTCGTGCGCGAGATCGTCATTATGAACAGGAGTGGTCACTACGTCAGGTATTAACTCTGGGACTCAAAAACATTGCTCACGAACCACTAGTTGATCCCAAAAACGTGTTGCTTCCACCTTTGCAAAAGCTATGGATCGAAATGGAATAGGGTTTCTGCATTTAAAACAAACATTTCCGAGACTTAGTGAGGCAAAAATTAAAGAGGGCATATTTGTGGATCCAGAAATACGGAAAATCATGAAGCATGATGTACAGGTGTTTCACATTTGCTTGCTGATTATTACTGGACATTGTTAAGAGATACTTCAGGAGCAAGATATCGCCATAAAACATCGACACCAACATTCTGAGATGAATGTTTATTCAAGTGTTTATTAGTACTCTTACACACATATCCTTATATTTTACGAGTATAAGTAGCAAATAAAATGCCTTATGCAAGAAAACCGTGGGTGATAGAAAAAATCCAATGTTATTTTCTGCTTTTTGGGTACGTTTTACATAATAACCACCTTGTTTTGACCAACGTTTACATGGGCTTGGAGCAAACGTCCTTATGGGAAGTCATTTGGGATTTGTTGATGAGCAGCGCCACTTGTCCTGGTCCTTGTATCGAAAACGACTCTTTTCTTTCGAAAATTTTAAACCTCCAAACACAAACTACTCACCTCATCGCCATCCCATATGTTCCTCAACCTCTTGCTGTTCCACCCGAGTCCATCATCCTCCTCCTCTCCATCCCAATTGTCGCTCGTCGTGCCTTTATTATTGCCTGTGATGCCACATTGGCTACATCTACCCTCTTGCATACCGTCATATTTCCACACAACTTCTGTCAATGTGCTGTGCGGCCGTGATATTTCGCTGGGTCGGGGTTGGTTTCTGCAATAGCGGGGGTCTGATACGCGAGTGCATGCTGTTTCGTAGTTGCCGCAGGAGATCGAGGATATTGGGGTTGCGTTGTCAGAATTGTACTGTTGAAAAAAAAGAAAGGAGAATTACTCTTTAATCGCAAAATCTCGGAAACTATTTGACCTACAAACATGAATTTTGGCTGGGAGGTAGCTTATGGACACGACATTTCAGCTAAGAATGGATTTTCTGGCAGGGCCAGATTAAGGGTTAAACGGACACTTACAAGTTTGAAATCGCTTGGATATCTAAGAACTAGCAACGATGAGGTTTTGTTTAGACTTAAACTAAGAGTGGATTGTGTCACCAGAAGTTTTTCGGAGTGGTAGCTTTAACAATGTAAAATTCAGTTTAAAATGCTAATTTCAAAAAAATGGCAATATTAATGTGTCAACTTTCCGTCCCGCGGTTTTACCCCGCAACTTATAGGTTCCATTCCCAAGCATGACAGCTAATGCGTAATTACAGTAATACTCAAAAATAATGTTATATGTTAGTAACAAAGAATTCGCGGGTAACAGCTAGAATTCATTTGAGAAGGTAGATTCCTTCCGAAGTACACCCATACATTTTAGAAGAATTTCGTTAATATCATTCGCACATCTTTTTTTATTTCATTTTCATCTCATACTAATTGGCGCTTTTTACTGACCACAAAATATTTGATGAAACTTATGAGCTTCCCACTCCTAATTTTTAACTGTAGAATAGAAATTCATAACTGTGGAGATCTTCATTTCTTATAAGATTGTCGCTTTTCTCGTCTATCGAAAATTATACAGTTTGGGTACGTTGTTTACCTTAATTTGCATGTAAGCAGCTTCACCATCACCATTTTCGATCTTCGCAGCGCCTTCGTCAGTCTGGCAGGCCTTGTCATTCTGATGTATGTTGTACTTCAACACGAACTCTGTTTCGTGTGGTCTCTCTGCAGTATCTAACTCTTCTTCTTTGTATTCTCGATACTTTTTGCTCTGCCCCAATTCCATTTCCAAAACCATCGCTCCACTGTCGCTCCTCTTATAATCCACCTTAAAAAGGAATTTTTAATGATTTAGCAAAACTACGCAGTATTTTATTTAGAACTTCCAGTGTCAGTAGTCCAAATGGAACTGTCGAAAGTCAGTATACAAAATAAAAAATGAGAAACTGCAAATCGTAACGGGAGTCCCAAAATGTATGTGGAAATCGTTTTTAAATAAAACCAACAGAAGTACCTATTATATATACCCTTATAGATATGTAGATAAATAGTACTAGCTTTCCGCCTCGCGGATTTACCAGCGGAACGTGTAGGTGGCGTCTCTAATCGAGTAACCAAATTTCACAAGCATGCAAATTAGTTGTCAATTTTCTAATGTCTTACTTAAAAACATTTTTTTGTGTTAGTAGTAACAGATTCAAGCATGTGGAGACGCGAGTAATGAATGAATGAAATTAAGAGGCATCCCGGCCACCACTAGCAGCCGGCGCATAAGCCACATAACGGGCCCTTATGCACCACTACATTCCCTAAGCCTAAAGCTGCGCCCCTCTAGCGAAGTTCAATATAGCCCTGCGTCCCAGCTCCTCAACGTTCTGGGGATCCAAAATGTTGTTCCTCAGTTTGCCTGTAGTAGCTCAGATACTCGCAGTGACACAGAACATGCGCCGAGGTCTCCTCTATCCTGCAGCGCTCACACATGGGAACCTATCACATTCAGGCGACGTGTCATCGTGTTATGGCCAGGCAACCACCAACAACCTTAGGTTGGCTCTATCCAAAGATAAGGAAAAGAGCACATCCTTAGCACTAGGCCCTAACATGAGCACCCGTGCCTGACGGAGATATCTAGAGATAGCAATCCACTTTTCCATTATCCTCCTGACTCTTTGCGTGGGTACCCCTAGAGCTGGCTCAGGACCAACCAGCTTGCCCGCTGATCCTGCTTTCGCGACAGCGTCCGCCATAACATTATCCTTTATCTCAGCCTCCCTGCAATGTAATACAAAGATTAGAGTATTCTTGCATTGCCTTCTTCGCAACCTGGCCATCGGAGAAGATTGTTATTCTTCTCCTATGCCCTTCCCCTCCAGAATGCGAGATACGCTAGCCAGAATCGCATAAATTTCCACCTGAAAAATAGTGGTGTATCCGCCGAGAGGCATTGAGAGTCCTCTTCAGTAACCGAGCCGTCCGTGTAGACTTTGCCACTTCCTTCGAAGACTTTCTGGTTTCTGGAATCCCACTCTGCACTCGTCGGACACTCCACATTGAACTTTAAAACGATACTTAGGGGTGACCAGTCACCCCTTCTCCGAAGGACGATGGAGATTTTGGTACTTGCCACAATTGTAAAATCGACGACGCGTTCGCGGATAAAACCATGCATATAACCTTCCTCAGGTATTAATTGAGGAGTGTTTTACAAAAATTAACGAAATTGAATTAGCGACACCATCTAGTACAAAAATTGGATGTTTTTGATTACTTCAGCACATATATTTTTTTAGTGAAGAGCATATTTTTTAAGCTATTATTAATAGTTAACAAAAAAGTAATCAAGAAAATTATTAGTTTTGAAATAACAGAGGTCAATTTTAGGACTGTTTTATTGTACATACTATAAACTAAGTTGATGACATATCTTTAACTAAAAGCAGTTTTAACGTTGTAATACTGTCGTACATAATATAGTATCTTATCTGTATGATTTAGAAATTTACACGACTTTAGAGAAAACAAAAAGTGTACGATTCCACAACATTCAAAATCATATTGGTAATATACAGTGCTTTTCTTAAATGTCCCCTTTGATTTTTTGAACGGATCAATTCAAAAAATTAAAACTTGAGGTAATGAAATTGATGCGTGGATACTATATTTTAGAGTAAAATTGACAGATGAAAATGTCAATATGGCCGCTGGGCGCCATCTTGGAAAAAAAATTGTATGAAAACGGGGGTCTTGTGGCACATTATTTCGAAGCTCCCGACGATTACTTTATAACCCTAGAATATAAAGTCAATACCTTTACCTATTACAAAATGGTGGTACATTTAATAATTACTTGAACACAAACCCACTAACATGCATATCTCTACAAATAATTGTAATTCCCTGCCGTATCCACAGCAACAGCGATAAAAACTTGTTTTGTTATTTTTTGTTGACAGTGACAACAATGTCAGTACGAAAACAAACATCATTGTACAGTTAAAATATTCTTATTTAGTTTTCGGTTTTAGTGCTAGATACTGTTTGAACTATTTTTAAAATGGTAAATTCTCGTCCATTGGAAGAAAAAATCGAAGCGATTTTTATTTATGGTGCGACGCGTAACTTTCACGAGACCGAAAGGATTTTTAATGATCGTTTCTCGAATCGTCCTATCTGTAGAAAATATTTAAGGGAGTATTTAAATTTACAGCTACTGGTAGTGTAAACAACAAAAAGCCCCCAGGTCATCCGACCATCCCGGAAGAAAAGCAAGTTCAAATAATTGGTGAGATCAAATTAAATCCCCAACACTCTACTTCCTCCATCGCGAATGTATGTGAGGTTTGTCCTTGTACTGTATGGAGACTTTTGAAAAAGAATAAGTATCACCCATATAAAATTCAAACGGTACATCAGCTAACTGAAGATGACCCTGATCGAAGAACAGAATTTCTGCGATACTATGACGGAAACCATTGCTCGGCATCCTACCTATGTCCAAAATATTTGTTTTAGTGATGAATGTTCATATTTTCTCAACGGTAATGTGCATAGACAAAATTATCGTTATTGGAGTGACACCAATCCTCACGTCTTCCGCTAAACTCATACTCAATATCCACAAAAAATTACCGTTTGGGCTGGGATATTGGGAAATCATATTGTGGGGCCTCTATTCATCGAAAAAACTTTGTATTTGGATGTGCTGGAAAATACTATTGACCCTCTAATCACCGAAATCGTCGAAGCGAATCCTAATGAATTCGATACTGATATTGTATTCCAGCAAGATGGTGCTCCACCACACTACTACAGACACGTTAGGATTTATTTAGATAACAATTTCCCTGGTCGTTGGATTGGCCGTCGAGGTCCTGTGGAATGGCTAGCTCGCTCGCCAGATTTGACACATTTAGACTTTTTTTATGGGGCTATTTGAAACAAAACGTATACGAAACTGAACCTGCTTCAATACTGGATATACTGCTGAGAATCACAAATATTTGTAGAAATATCGATGTTACTATATTTGAAAATGTTGACGCGAAATTACGGACCGGCTGTTATTGTGTCAAGAAGTTCAAGGCAACCATTTCCAGCATCTTCTAAACTGAACTCAACGTATCTATTTGAATTATCAAGTTAAATGTCAATGTATTCAGGTAATTATTAAATGTACCACCATTTTGTAGTAGGTAAAGGTATTAAGTTTATATTCTAGGGTTATAAAGTACTCGTCAGGAGCTTCAAAATGATAAAATATGGTATCCACGCATCAATTTCATTACTGCAAGTTTTAATTTTTTGAATTGATCCGTTCAAAAAATCAAAGAGGAGGGGGTCATTAAAGAAAAGCACTGTATAAATCATTGTTTGTAGCACAACAAGCGAACGAGTGCAATTCGGTTAGACTTTTTGGGTATGCACGTTGAAGACACGTTATCATGGAAGGTTCAATGTGAAAAGTTAATGACCAAATTAAATTCGCTTATTTTCATGTTTAGAAACCTATTAAACACATCCCAAATAATCTCAGTTTATTACGCCCAGGTCAAATCTCGACTCCGTTGTGAAATTTGGTTACCCATGCTCTGGATATTTTCACTGCACAGAAGATAAATAAAAGGTAGTCTATGTGATATTCTAGACTATAATCTATCTCTGCGCCAAATTTCATCCAGATCCGTCCAGCCACTTTGATGTGATTAAGTAACAAACAACCATACTTTTTCATTTATAATGCTAGTAGGGATAGATACTGACCTTATCCAGACTACCGGAGATATTAAACGTGGTTCCGTCTGGGTATTTTCCATCAGCAGGATTTTCTGGTTTATCCATGACCGGCTTGAAATGAGAGCTCTCTGATGTTAGCAGATCTTCTTTCTCTACAGGCAAGTTGGGTTTCACAGACACGCTGAACAAAGAAAAGTTGGTGCGGAGATACGGGTTGAATACAGCAACGCTCTAAAATAAATGTTATAATCAGTATATGATGCAATGTTTTCATCTCATCTAACAATTGAGGGTCATACACACACGTTCTTTCGCGTGAAACGTGGCGGTTGGCATCCGCGAAAAAACGGAACGGCGGAAAAACGACATGATTACTGACGAAAATGTTCGAAAATGAGATGTCTCTTGGATACTATATGACATGTACATCACAAAAAACCTTGTCACTTATTTCCGTCTGTCCGTCCCCTGATCCTAGAACCGCCTATAACTTGAAAAGTAAAGCTCGGATTTTGATGAAATTTTTATACCATGTTTCTACTATGCCAAGCACGAAAAAGTTTTGTAGTTTTTGAAAATCGGTCCAGTGTCGGGGTAGCAAACAGCCTTCGTTTTCTGACGTTTCAGAGGATCCAGATCATTTTTAAAAAAATTAGGTGATAAATTTGGGGGTAGGGATTGTAGAGGGGTGGGAAGGTGTATCTCAATTTTTTGATGTTAGTATATTTATACGTTCTGGTAATTCTACGCACCTATTCGACATATTTCACACATCACGCGTACTTTGGAAGTAAGTCTTTATAATTCAACATTTAAGGGCAAATATTCGGGGAAATCCTTAATTTATCAAATATGTCTAATAAGTGGGTAGAAGTAATTGGAATGGAAACGTAGACATTGCTAGCACAAAAAAGACATATTTTCTCCCCACCCTCTACATCCCCAACATTTTTTTCTTTAACCCTAGCTACGGCGCACAGTGGTCTATCTATGCAAAAACTTGTCAAAAATTGAAAAAACAAACTATTGACAATGAACGAAAATTATTACCTATTTTGAAGTTAATAGCTTGAACAATAAGTTGACCTAGAATCAGAACTTTGCTTACATTACCTTTACTATGGCAGACTATTAAAATTGGAGAGCTTTATGTATCATCCATTGTATTGTGTGCTGAAAAGATTTGAGCATCTGAATGTGGATCATAATAAAAGAGTACGAATCATCATTTGATGTAACAGAAACCTGTCATTATTGTTGTTTCCATGTACACCGCACATTAAACGGATTATTATGGCGCCTGCTTTTTTTGTCCTAAATGGAATGAATGATGTATGTGAACCTTGCATTTCTGCCAGATAAAATCTAGTGTTGATTTTTGCTAACTTTTGCAAACTATTGAGAAATATAGCCTTATATACTGCCACATTATGGCAGGTGATAATTAAACTTTTTTGAGTTTGTACTTCAAGTGGCCCCAAAAGACCCTTCAAATGCCCTCCTAGAGACAAAGTGATCTCTGATTCAAACTTAGAATCCAGAAACACCTAAATGGCGTGCGGTTGGGATCAAATACTGGGCTTCTTTTGAAAATCTCCTTAATATGACCTTTAAGTGACATTCAGATGTCCCTCTAGGGACAAAATCGCATAAATGCCGTAAAGATTGTATTTCTGACAGGTTTTCAGTGTTCTAGACACTATGCGCGGACACACGGAAGTGGGTGACATGGTTTTTCATGATGTACATGTCATATTATAACATCCAAAAAACACCATTTAAAAAGAATCGTAATTGCAATACTTCCTCACCCAGTGGCGTACTAAGTAAAAGCATCCTATGTGCTATTCTAGACTGTAATCTACACTACCGCTCAAATATTTTGGGACAGTAACTTTTTTCAAGTGAACTTAAAACAAATAAGGCATATATGACACTGATTGATTATTACCATCTACGAGCCCCTTCCCACTTCAGTTGGCCCATGGTTAACACTATGCCCCAAAGAATTTCAGCCATAATAAAAAATAAAGGTGATGTTACCCAATGGTAATCTTTCAATTGTTGCTTTGTTAACTTCGCGCATTTATTCGCACATTTATTTGTTCAGATGTTCTATTAGTTATACTATAGGTCTAAGTGATTTCAAATATGTATTTTTTACGACTAGAGTGTATCTAAAATGTTTTTGAGAAAATAAATTGTTTTAGAAGTAAATACGTATAGTTTCGTCATGTTTAGTTTATAAAGGCATATTTTGGTACAAATCTTGAAGTGGGCCAACTGAAGTGGGAAGGGGCTCGTATACATCCATGCTTGCCTCATACAAGTTAAAACTCACTCTCACAATTATACAACTCATCAAGATACTCATAATTACAACACCAGAAACAAAAAATCATTGTGTCCAAATCGTCATCGCCTTTCCAAAACTAGAAATGGTGTTAACTACCACGGATTAAAATTCTACAACCTATTGCCGAATTAAATAAAATCTCTCCATGTTAGAACAATTTGGGAAAACTATAAAATGCTTTCTACTATCTGAAGCTTTTTTTGACGTCGAGGACTTTTTTCAGCCTGGCGTATTTTTTTCGCATTTAGTCTCTTTAATAATTTTTCAACAATTTCTATTTATTGTTCATCTAAATTTTAACCTTAGCTTTAACAACTTTTTTACCTTTTATTGTCACTTTGTGTTTCATGTTTGTCTTATTTACGTATTGTTTTTTGTTTTTACTTTTTTATGTTCTAGTTTAACTGACTTATGTAAACACATTTCTGTGTAATAGTACCAATTAATTATGATTATTATCAATAGTTCGCACAATCATTAGGTATTTTGGAGCAAGAATTCCGAACTACTGAAATATAAAATAAATATAATCTCAATTAGAAACTAAATACTCACGATAATTTGTACCATTGGAAATTTTATTTCTATGATGCAAAGAAGCGTTGATACATGACGAGAAATTTTCAGTATCCACAATCTTTACAAAACTCTTTAAATAAAGGATTATCATCAGAAAACAATAAGAGTAAATCCACTGGTTTTGAATGCATCATCTGCCTTAATATCAGCTAACTAATGAACTAATTTCCACAGAAGTCAACAAATAATTAAATCAAGTCGATATTCAGTAATGGACAAAAGTATATAGACAAATATGAATATTTACCTAAATACCTTTAGAAAACGAGTTCATACTTCATTGCTCCATCAACAAATGCGTTAACACTATGCCCCAAAGAATTTCAGCCGTAATGAAAAATAAAGGTGATGTTACCCAATGGTAACCTTTCAATTGTTGCTTTGTTAACTTCGCGCATTTATTCGCACATTGTTTATTTGTTCAGATGTTCTATTAGTTATAGGTCTAAGTGATCTCAAATATGTATTTTTTACGACTAGAGTGTATCTAAAATGTTTTTGAGAAAATAAATTGTTTTAGAAGTAAATAGTTTCATCATGTTTAGTTTATAACGGCATATTTTGGTACAAATCTTGAAGTGTGCCAACTAAAGTGGGAAGGGGCACATATAATACGACTATTCAAGCTTAAGATGTATAAGAATCAGTGAAACACCCCTTAAAAGGAAATAAATGTAAGCCCCTTTAGAGACGCCGATATTTTTATTAGTTCATTGCAGTCATAGATCGGCCGTATTCCTGCCGCTGTTTACTTTTTTGTACTATGTTCGGCTTAATAGGATACATAAATATTCTGGGTATCGATGAAATAAAGTAAAAATTGTACGTAGTTTAGTATAAACTACTAGTCGATGTGCTACGGTCAGATTTTTTCAAAATAACCGAAAATGGTAAGGACGGGTAACGTTTCTCTTGAAAAACGGGATGCAGTGTGTGCCTTACGTGATGAGGGACTGCCAATTAGAGCGATTGCTGAAAGGCTGCATATAGGACGGAACACGGTGTCTCAAATTTCGAAGAAAAAGAGAAACAGGCAGTGTCGTAGATCGTCCACGCCCTGGAAGATGCAGAGTTACAACTATTCCTGAGGATAGGCTTATAGTAATAACAAGTAAACGAAATAGACATTTAACTGCGCCTGAATTCCCCACAGCTTGAATAGAACGAGGGAAAACACTGTGTCCGTGTCTACGGTAAAACGCCGTTTGCAAAGGGTTAACCTTAGAGGATATGTAGTAGCACGCAAAGCACTCCTGCGACCTATACACAAACGCAACTGGTTAGCATGCGCCCAAGAACACAAGGATTCGACCATTGACGATTGGAATCAAGTCCTTTGGTCGGATGAATTCAAATTTGAAATGTTCGGATCTCGACGACGATAGTTTGTACGCCGCCAACCCCCTGAACGCATGACTCCGTAATGTTTGCAGCCAACTGTTAAGCATGGACGTGGGACTGTAATGGTTTGGGAATGTTTTGCTGGAAATCAAACAGGATATTTGGTTCGTATTGAGAGTAAAATGCAAAAGGAGCAGCATTTGGAAATATTGGAAAACCATGCTGTTCCCTCAGGACAAAGGATTGTTGGGAACAATTTCGAATTTCAGCAAGACAACGACCCTAAGCATTCATCTCGACTATGCCGCAATTATTTGGACCAGCAGCAAGAACTTGGTGCGATGAAAATCATGACGTGGCCTTCCCAGTGTCCAGATTTGTCTCCTGTCGAATATTTGTGGGATGAAAACAAGAGCCTAATAGTGCTGCAGACTTGTGGGTCAAGCTGCAGGGAAGCGTGGGTATCCTTATCAAAAAATATTCTTGAAAAATTGATACGTCGGATGAGTCGTGTCTGCAATGCAGTTATTCGGGCTCATGATGGACATTTCGATGAATCACGAATTTAAAGTAAATTTTGATAGAAATAAGTTACCAACTGATCACGTTTCAGTGGAAAATGGTTTCTTTTTTATTTTTTTGATTAAACACACTCTATGGTTTGATTTCCCTCAAAAAATCTACTGTCCCAAAACTTTTGAGAGGTAGTGTATATCTGTACCCAATTTCTTCCAGCCATGTTCAGCGATTTTGGCGTGATTGAGTTACAAACATCCAAACTTTATGATATTTATCCTTACCGCCTGCGTATTCGGACCTTTCGGCGCGATCTCTCTAAAACAACTCTCCTCCTTGTTATGGTTGATCTTAGTCAGACTGGCAGTGATCTGCCTGGACAACTTCTCCTCATCCCCTATAGCCCCAAACTGAACCGGCTGAACCTGGAACTGCTCGTCGCTCCAGCGGTACCCAAGCAATCCCGGACGTTCACCTTCGCGCTCGAACAATTTGTTTATTTCGTTTTCTACGCCTTCGCATGCGTTTCCTTGGCGACGACGGTTGTCATTGTCGCCGTTCGACCAGTTGTTGGCGATCGGAATGGTGCTGAATTGGATATTGATGGCTGTTTCATGGTCGTCAGCGTCCAGCTCTGAGTTCGGGACGTCGTCCAGCGTGGTGGAACGGTCTATCGACCAAATGGAGCTGAAACAAATAAAAAAAATGGCGTCAAGAAGGTTGACTCTGCACTTCTCACGCAACGCCGTTACAAGTTCGTAAAGGATTATGCTCAGCAAAAATTGGACCCTGTTAGAAAAAAGTCGGTCAAACAGGTCCATACAATTAGTCCATAGGCATTTTTTCTCTGCCCAACTGGTAGTGACTCGGTCAGATGTGGCTATGTGGCTTGGCGATTCGCTCATAGATATCTCTGCGCGTAGCGAGGTGGTGCTGCCAAGCTGTCATGATATATTTATAAAACGTTACATTTATACTAAGCAGAATGGAATTCAGCTCTTGTAACGTTTTTGGTGGTTTCGTCAAAAAATCATACGAAATTAATAAGCACATCGTTTCAAAGCCAAACTGTCAAGATAACTCGCGACCATGTCAAATAGACCGACGATTAGTCAAATGAGCGAGGTGGTGCTGCCAAGCTGTCATGATATATTTATAAAACGTTACATTTATACTAAGCAGAATGGAATTCAGCTCTTGTAACGTTTTTGGTGGTTTCGTCAAAAAGTCATACGAAATTAATAAGCACATCGTTTCAAAGCCAAACTGTCAAGATAACTCGCGACCATGTCAAATAGACCGACGATTAGTCAAATGTCAATTTGAAGTTGAAAAACCTATTGAATTTTAAGGTAACGTACTTCTTTTATTACTAAACTAAGTCATGCAGTATTCCGTGTAGGGCCCTAAAAGTTAAATAGCTATGTGATAAAAAAGATCTATCTGGCAACACCACATTTAACTCTACTGAAATGACAACAGCCGTCTTTAGTCGCCATCAGCTGTTTTGTGGAAGCCATGTTTTTTTAGTAATCCCTTATCTCTCCGTAATTTTATTTGTCTGGTATCTCGCACTGGTTGATTCTGCGCTGTCTTCGATCATTCAAATTGATATTACACACTACACCGAAATGCGATGTCGAAGTTTGAAGAATTCATGTAGCTAGAACCTGAATAATCATTAATGCATAAAGTTACCTAGAATGTTTAAATATTGATGGTATCGACCATAGTAAATGCAGATCATGTAACATTTGTCCCCAGTACAAAGACTAAAAACTGCTCAATGGAAGCATGAGAAGACTTAAAATAGCATGCCATAAAGTAAAAATATTCAATATACACTTATCAGAAAAAATATAATATTGCACAAAAATAACTTTTTTGTAAATTATTCCAATGACAAATGATAAAATACCCATGTATTTAAAAAAAAACCGCATGAACTAGCTAAAAGTGCATAAGAAAGTTATAAATGCCAAACAAAAAAATAATCTAGAGATAAATAATTATTGGAAAATGTTACAACATGCCTAAAGGACTGTTTTGTCAAAACAGACAGTATTTAAACAAAACTTGGCATGGTAGTGACATACACGTCGCCATAATTTACCTCTGTTAAATGTTAATGAAGATAATTTTTATTTGTAAACAATTAATTGAGAATAATTTCACATATCTTACAAGTGTTTGGTAACAAAATTGAACTGTACTTCATCATCTGAGTTATTTCACATATTCAACTATGAGCTCTCAAAATTTAGCAAACATTAGGCTAATTGGAGAAAAATACTTGCATTCCTCTATTTATGCTATGTAAAAACTCGCTGTGACTTGTGTCCACTTCAGTACTATGACCTAAACAGATTTGACATCTTAATAGTCTTTCACATAATCAATTACTGCATAATAGCTTGACAAATTATGCTTCTCCAAACAGAAATATGAACATTCTAGTTAATTACACCACCAAAACACAAAAAATCTACTCACTCGTGGGGCGCAATCCTAATGTTTACAATCCCCCTTTCACAATATTCAGGAAAAACAATGCACACAGAAAAAGAAACCAAAGTGTAATGTTTATTTTCGAGTATCGTAGACAGCGACGAGAGTCCAAGGACATTATAAGATCGGTTAAAATTAACGTATTACATAACACGTCACGCGTATAAATATTTTTATATTACCACCTGTGCGTACACGAGTCTGGTATTAATGCTGCATCACATTTTCGTGAATTCATTTTTAAATTTGACTAATCATGTACGACCGACTGTTTAGGGAAATGATGAATCAAGTAGCCCGACTCAATGCTTCCTACGAAATGTTTATTAAAAAAGGACCACGCGCCTTTCTTATAGGAACATACATAGCTTCCAGTAGATTTGCTCCAAGTTTTGAAGTTGTATTGTACAACTGTCGCTGATCAAATGTTCACATTTCACCAAATCGATTTTTTGCGATTCAAAGTGCCCAAAAGGCTTAGAAGTTGGGTATTTATGCATTTCAAAAAAATCCCTATATTTTTTAGCTAAGTACGAAGCTGATGATTTGGATGAGGTAATGACATCACAAACGACTCAAAAGAATAGTTATTGCAAGTCGTATAAAGCTTTATCACTTTCAGTTTACCCCTTGCTACCTTTAAAAGTTGGAAAATATCTTACGAAGGGAGGACGAGGTTTATCACTTCTTCAGAACTATCTAATTGCCATGTGCTTAACCTATGCGTCCCATCATTTAAAATAAGATCAACCTCACATGAAGGATGGGATTCATATTAAGACCGCTATGCAGGATAAACTGTCACAGATATTTGTCCTGACTTCAAGGGTGCATTGTTTTTTTAAATGCCTTCTAAAGCACGTTCTCGGTAATTAATTTTTACGACCATGCGCTTATTAGCTTCTGGAACCACTCTCGATTTATCGATTAACATGTTATTGGCAGCATTTTTCTTTTCTTAGGACCCCATGATTTTCTGGCCAAATGAAAGCACATATGTATTAGATACTTTTTTACTGAAGTTCTAGCCTCCATGTGCTCTTCCAAAGTACCAATATCAACAATGACAATATATTTTTAAGTTTATCTGGAAGATACATAAACAAAATATAACGACATCATTAAAAAGAAAATTGTCCCTGTTTTTACTACTTCAAATGGAATTACTGCAAACCTTCTTGGCTACTTGACGATAGAAATTGTATGCGAACGTTCAAACCCAGGATATGGTTGTGCATCTTCTTGGAGAATTCGTTAACTAATGGCAGTGACATTAGTAATTTATTACTTAAGTATTTTATTTATATATTTCTCAACAGATACAAGATCCAATTACAGAGAAACACTATAGAAGTGGTGAAAAACAAATATACACACATAAAAAAAATAGTATCATGGATTGATGATACCAAAAAACCCAGTGCAGTAGTAGCACAGATAATATATTCCTGAACATTAATTCTACTCCTAAAATATGTAAAGATGTGTACTAAAAGATAGTGAAAAGCTAACAAAGGTCACTGAAAAGTTGTTAAATGACAATCTTATTCTTGCATATATATATACGGAACTGGAGCGCGGGGCAAATGGTAGTGTAAACAAAACGCTCGTTGTACACGGATAAAGCTTTCACCACATTTGTAATAAGCTTTCACAGCCGATACGCGTTGTTCTCCATGATAAATAAACTTCCCACTCTCTAGATTCACAACGTTTACGTCGCAAGCCCGCGGCTCCTCTATTTTTCTGCCAGAAGCATTGCCAAATCGTGCCGATTCACTGAATCACCTTGTATTTGTTAAAGCCTTTGGTAGATAAAACCTAGTGTAGTTCCTAATATTCAAAATAGGCACAGTAAAGTTTGAGTTGAGCAAAATTTCATCACAGGCTTAGCTGCTTAACAAAAAACTTCAGTGTGCATGACTGATCATGCCAAAGTAATCTAAAAGATCCCTCTTTGGATAGTTGAATGGAGCATACAGATAATTTGGAAACGTCTGTTTGGGTTTTCTCGACTTTAGATATAACCGTAACATATAAAGAAGACCAGATGATACAACCATATTTAAGTAAACTTCTAAGATCTGCGATTTCTAATAATGGATTCAAGCATACGTGACATTGATTTAATTACTTGATTTAAGTATGTTGAAAATGGCAGATCTGAAGTAATGTCTTTTTGCTTCCTCCTCTTGCTGAAAAAGAACAAGAACAACTCACCTCAAGACATTCATCCCGTATGGTAAAAAGCCTCTCTTCATAGAATCTCTGGTATTCTTCATATTCATAATCTCCACTATCTTATCTTGTCTGTCAGCCGAATTGACGTTATCTTGCGGTGGCTCTGGGGAATCCAACAGGAGTCTAATGTTAACAGGCAGATCTTCGTACATGTTCACGTCCTCCTCGTTGGTGGTGTTCAAATCAACTTTGGCTATCTCCAGACACCGTTCGATTTGCTTCTCGCTTTGTTCTTTGTTGGTTTTCAAAGCGTTGCTGCCTAGCTTCTTGGGGGACTGCTTGGATTTCTTTACCGATGACGGGCCCTGGTCGTCGAAGAATTCGCGCGGTGGGAAGCTCCAAGTTCTTTCTAGATAAGGGCTGAGTTTGGGGTTGTCCTCACGGGAATAGGACTCCTCCGATGACATCTGAAATTTGATTATGTTACTATGATTTGTTTTAATATATCCGGCACAAGTTAGTCCCTCTTAGAATAATACTGACTACGAGCATGCAAGATGGCTCAGTCGGCCCAGTCTTCCCTAGCCATCCAAAGCCGAGAGTCGCGCGCTCCTTTAGTTGCCCGGCACTGGTACATCAAATATATATATTTATAATTCATCTATAATTTATGAAGTGTCTAATAGGCAAGTCGAATTATCTAGATTGGAAACGTAAACATTGCTAGCACCAAAAAATTAACATATACTCTCCCCCACCCCCTTCAACTACCAACATCAAATTTATAACACATGATCAGGAGTCTCTGAAACTTCAAAAAACTAAGTTTGAGCGATTTTTTGTTTGTTTTTATCACTAGGTACGCCGCCATGGACCGATTTTCGAAATCTACAAAGCTTTCATCCCTGGTATAGTAGTAAGCTTGTGTGAAAATTTCATCCAAATCCGAACAGTACTTTCCAAGTAGGTGGTTATAAAATTAGCGGACAGAGCGACGGAAATGGATTTTCGAGATGCACGTCATATAACAAATATCAAAAAAAGTCATCTGGAAGGCAGACAAATCAAATATACAATGTAAAACCAAATACCACTGTGTGTGTTAGAAAGAAATAAAGCACCTCGTTGCCTAGCAACCCGAATGACGCGGCCACAGACGCCATCGGCGCACACTACATTGGACGCTTCTCTCTCGTACAAATTACGTCGGCGAAATTTGAAGCACACGGTATGTGTGTACTGAAGATCACCATTGTGATTGAAACGTTTACAACAGTAAAGAAGATCTGTCAATGCATGCTGTTACAGTGAGAAGGGATCGCTTTCTCCCTCCCACGTAAATTGACGGAATATGACAGCATAAGAAAACGCCAGGAGTGCATGAGTAAGAACGCGTGATGTACCCTTTCTCATGGCACTACAATAGCTATTGTGCTCATGATGCGGCGATTTGTTTCCACCTTAATAAGCATATAGCTATTTCTTGATAGATTACAACTTTCTTACCTTCCCGTAGAATCTCTTCGGCCCGGTAAACGACCCAATGATCCCTCCCATTCCTCCCGCGCTACACGTGGATTTCTCGCCGGTGACGATCGCCTCAGCTGCCTGCTGATGCGCTCTGGCCCGTCCTAGGGGCGGGAAGGCGGCGTAATAGCGCTCCGCTAGCTCGCGCGGCGTCACACGCTTACTCCCGATTGGTTGCTGGACGGGCCTGGGCGTTGATGATGGGCTGCTGCTTAAACTGAACCTGAAACTCGATTCGGCCGCGTCGTTCGTCTCCTTCAGCTTCAGCCACAGTTCTTCTACCAGCGATTCTACTTCACAGTTCTGGAAAAACAAGATGAAGACATCATAAGGCAGGGTACGAAATAGGTGTCTGTTATAGAGCCTATAGGCAATACTTGTGTCCCGGCCATATATCTCTGATATATTAACAATATCATGACTATATCTAGGCAATACCTTCTGCAATGTGTAGACACCCGTTCAGAATTTCTGTTAGTTAAAGATTTATTTAGCATTGATGCTACAATGACAATTTAGTATAATCATACTCTCTTTTGAAATACAGATTTACTAGTTATGCTAGTATTAAAATTTTGCTGATGAAAATCTATACTGCTTCTAGTTTCATAGTTATGATAATGGCTATTTAATTTTGTTTTCTAAATGTTGGACGTCCCTGTTTCAACTTGCAGTTTGGAGCAGTATTCTAAGTCCTTTTTCATCTTATTATTTCATGGTGTGTATAGTAGAGATGACTAAGAAACAATGTTAGCAATTAATAAAAATAAAATAAATATTACTACAGCTCTGAAATTGAAAGTCTCTTCAAAAAATCTTTGATAGTAATAAGAAAAAGTAATCACACGCTCAGTTTTTCTAAAAGTGGACAATTCACACACAATTTTAGAGCTACACTATTATTTGTTAACAAGCTTCGATTGAAGGAAAAATGCACAAAAATTCTTTTGACGAAAAGAACCTGATAACATTGTTTTTCACTTCCCTCTATACAAGCATGAAACAATTAGACGAAAAGTATCAAGAATACTCCTCCAGACAGACTGTTGAAAAAAGGAACATGCGACGTTAAAAGATACTGTTGTGTTAGATAACAAATATTGGGAATACAAAGTTAAATCATCAAATAATTGTGCTACACGGTGCTTTGCAAAAAGATCCCCCTACTAATTATTTGGACGGGTCAAGTTATCAAGCTGAAATTCAGGGTAATTGAATTGATGGATGAATACTACTAGGCAGTCTGATAAGTACCTGAAAATTCTAAGAGATGGCATTAGTATTCACTAATGCGAACCATTTTTGTCGAGCCTGATCCTTCAAATGACACCTGTCAAAACTTCAGCCATTCATGTTTACACATTTACAAGTTACAGCACTGAGAAGCGACTAACCTCAGAGTTTTTTTTAATATGGAAAAATCCGAGTTTCGAGTTTTGATCAAACACTACTATCTACGCAAGAAAACGATATCCGAGACCAAGGCCAAGCTGGATAAGTATTACCCGGACTCTGCACCGTCGATTGGAACGATTCATAAGTGGTTTACGGAGTTTCGTTGTGGCCGTACAAGCACAGTTGATGCTGAACGATCTGGGCGCCCAAAAGAGGTCACTACACCAGAAAACGTCGAAAAAATCCATGATATGATGTTGAATGATCCCAAAGTGAAATTGAGAGAGGTAGCTAATGCTGTAGGCATGTCATTGGAACGCGTAGGCAATATCGTCCATTCAGTTTTGGGCATGAAGAAGCTCTGCGCGCGATGGGTGCCGCGTTTGCTCACAGTGGACCAAAAACGAATTCGTGTGACGACTTCCCAGCAGAATTTGGCATTATTTTCGCGTAAGCCGACCGAGTTTTTGCGACGATTTGTAACCATGGATGAAACCTGGATCCATTACTACACTCCTGAGTCAACGCAACAGGCAAAACAGTGGGTTCCACCGGGCCGAAGTGCTCCGAAGCGTCCAAAAACGCAACAATGGGCCGGAAAGGTTATGGCCTCCGTATTTTGGGATGCTCATGGCATAATATTCGTGGACTATCTTGGAAAAGGTAAAACCATAACCGGAGCATATTATTCATCATTATTGGACCGATTGAAAATCGAAATCGCCGAAAAACGACCGCATTTGAAGAAGAAAAAACCGCTTTATCATCACGACAATGCGCCTGTTCATTCATGCTTAGTTGCACAAGCAAAATTGCACGAAATCGGCTTCGAATTGGTTCCTCAGCCACCGTATTCACCAGACCTGGCCCCCAGCGACTATTACTTATTCCCTAACCTGAAGAGATGGCTCATCGGTAAGCGTTTTTACTCAAATGAGGAGCTCATAGCTGAAACTGAAGCGTATTTTGGAGACCTTCCGATCGAGTACTTTTCGGACGGTATCAAAAAGTTAGAAAATCGTTGGATTCGCTGTATCGACCTAAAAGGAGAGTATGTTGAAAAATAAACCCGACTTTGGCCAAAAAAACGTCTCCGTGTTTCATTTTTCAGGGACTTATCAGACTGCCTAGTATATTTCAGCGTATAAGTCGCAGTTGAAAATTTAATGATGACAGCTTTACAACCCCAGCATATAAAATCACTATCTTTCAAAATGGCGAACTGGCAGGCTGTCAAAGTTATATCAAATTGCGACTTTTGGAAGGGTCTATTTAAATATGCAATTAATATGACAATTTTTTTATGTAATATTCCATATTTTATTGCATATTCGGATAGACCTCTCCAGAAAGATTGATACAACATACTACAGTCTATTTGAAGAGTATCCATTACGTTGGCAAATAATGAATCGGGTGTTAAATCTAATAAAACTCAGGGCCGTATTCAGAGCTGTTGTCCATATATTTATATACTTTTAGTGACTGGGAATGTCAACCAAAAAATATATGAAATACACAAAGGATATTGTTTATTATAAAATTATTATGTACATCTGGGAGTCATTGATTAGGAGGTAAGTCAATAAAGCTGATTGCGTTGTCCTTTCCAGTAGCTGTAATTTTACATGAAAAAATAATATAGACACGTGTTTCTGGTTAACTGTCCGTCATCAGTGTAACGTAATTCAAATACAGATATGCGCAGAAACCTCATAAAAATTAATAATGAATGGCAATCTGAAATCAATTTGATATTTTGTAATATCTTACTTTCTTTGTAAAAAAACAAACTAAATTTATTATTATATTTATTATACGTTTTCGTTTCCTTTGGATTTTTGCAGTGTTCCAGCAGTTGTCCTGTATTCACGAGCACTGCAGTGTCCCAGTTGAATACATTTCATGACTGCCTGCCATAGTTGTGTATTTCAATTATATTTTTCTAATTTATACCTTATTCGAAATTCAGGGAATCGAACCTCTATCAATTTGGTCATATACTGCCACACATTTTGAATTGATTATACGACTATTTCACTGCCCTTTAGAATCATAGTGTTTCAAGTTCTAAAAAGTAGATGTGATTAACATAGTCAAGAACTCTTTGTTTTATTTTATTCCTACCTGACTTGAAATGCAGTCATGATCATCAGCAGCTGTTTTGCTACTTACGTTTTATTTTGGTATGCGGAGGAACTTTTCTAAAGAGAAGAGCAAGTACAAAATGAATCCGTACAAAAAATCACAACAAAACACGGCTCTATAGTCAAGCGGAAACGTATAGCAACCGTCTGTTGCGCGAGTCAGTAGACTACACAGTCGAGCAAGTTCGCAAGCTCACAAGACTCGAACTGTGAATCAAATCGTGCAATTCTAGGTCCAACCAAAAATACGATTTTTGCTAAACATACAAATTCCTAAATTAATTTTTGGATTAATTTAAAATAACCGACAAGTAGTTAACAATAGCAAGGCACCCCTTTAACTGGCGCACTTCATCCTCTTTGCTCTTTCCCCTTCATTCCTTTCTTTCTCCCCGACTTCTGGTATCTGGGCAAACAGACCTGACAGACCTACGATACTTCAACAAAGAGCGAAGGTCCCACGGACCGCTCTGGCGGATAATGACGAAAAGAACACAGCTCTGTTGACCTGGCGTTGACGGATTCGTCAGAATTGTCATTTACCGATATAGGCAAATTTAAAATACCGTAATGGATACTCGTGAATATAACTAGGTTCGCATGTGGCCAAATATGCTCGCAAAAATAGATTCCATTTTCCACTCAAACATTTTCCACTCAAAGAAAATAGTCTTCTATTCTTAAAGAGAACATCAGTATTACTTATCATCCCTCGTTGTTACTCCTAAGTTACAAATATTCAATGTGGTGAATGCCAAATTTTGTTATAATGCTCACCACGTTAGAATTAGATCACAAAATTAAATAAAACATTGGAATCGCCTATAAATGATGAAAAAAGAATTTGCTAAGCGCTATAGATGGGTTAGTTATTCAAGGACACATGGCATTTTGTAAAGTTTCTTTTATAATCATGATACTATTACTCAAAATGATACAACCCACCCGCATGCGATCAGTTTATCTCTTTGGCACGCGTGACGTCACTCGGTGACAAAATTCCCCAGAGACCTGTGACAACCGTTTAGTTTTATATGGTGCTTTATTGCGTAATTTGTGATTAGTTTTGTTAGTAAGTTATCTGGTGTGCTTCAAATATGTATCTGTGTGAACTATAATAAGAAAACGGTAAATTAAACATTCAACTGTGGTGTGCAGTGGTGGGTTATTCAAGCAACATCCACAAGAAAAGGAAATGGAATTGGCGTTTCCTGTTTTCCAAAAACAAGTTTGAGAACAATGGGTTCTGAAGTGTTATCAGAACCACAAATTTAATATTTTTTAATTAAGTGTAATGAACTGGACAATAATTTCGACAATTTCAACGCAGGGTCATTAAAACTGACCAAAAGTTATATAAAATCGTTAATGGATTTAGCCTCGTGAGTTAGTGTAAATGCAGGTGTCAAGCATCTTTTTTTTTCAGATGCAAAATATATTTCAAAATCAGGATGTTAAATAGAGGTATAAAAAAAATCCAGAATTGGGGGAAATGGTGGAAATTGTAAAATAAACTCAATAAACCGGTTTACCAATACAACATAATTTTATTACCACCTACTCATAAAAAAGATACAAAATTACACAATATTTTATACAAAATTATAAAGATGTCAAACATACTGTATCTTATTCTTCATTCTTTTTCTGTATAATAATATAACAAATGCACAAAGATATTATTTGAAACCAATTCACTTCAATAAGTCCCAAAGTCCCTTTATTTGAAGCTCTAAAGAAATTTTTGTTCAAAAGCTACAT